CTTATTGCCCGTCTCTAGTTGCCCTTGAAGGTGGTGGTGAGTTGCCTTCTTGAACTATGCTGTAGATAGACTCCATTAGGGTGGGAGTTCGAGGATTTTTGATACAAGAACAGTCAAGGGACAATGACATATTTCCAAGTCGGGATGGTGAGTTACTTGGAGGAGAACATGCAGGTGGTGGTGTTCCCCATGTATTTGCTGTCCTTGTCCTTCTAGATGGTAGGTTGGTGCAATCAAAGGATGCTTGGTGAATTGCTGCAATGTAGCTTGGATATGGTAGACTCTGCTAGCACTGAATATTGGTGCTATGGGGAGTGATCGTTGAGGGTGGTGGATAATATGCCATTCAAGTGGACTGAGGCTAGCTCCAGATTTATTATATATCTGAATGTTAATTCCAAAAATGGTGAGATTTGAATTCTATTTTCTGAGAAGATTAACCATGTCCTCTGGATTACTGGTCCAGTGTCATTACCAATTTGCCACCATCTTAGACCAGAGCAGAAGTAGGCCATTTGGCCCATTTGAGTCTGCTATGCTATTCAATGAGATCATGGTTAATCTCTCCCCAATGTTACAAGCTGTGGTTTCCTCCCTGCTATCAAACCCTAATCCTGACTGACCCTACATTTATATTCTGGTCCTGAGATTAGGCTAGTCTGGCTCTTGTCTTTGGCCTGTTCTGGTTTAGCTAATCTCCAATTTGTTGGTGGTGCTGTTGGTTCAGCAAACCTGGTCTATGTAGAGATGAGGCGTGAAGGCTCAGTTAGGGCGCCTGAGAGTTACAAGTTAGCCAGGAAGGACCTAAAGCGAGAGCTAAGAAGAGCCAGGAGGGGACATGAGAAGTCTTTAGCAGGTAGGATCAAGGAAAACCCTAAAGCTTTCTATAGGTATGTCAGGAATAAAAGAATGACTAGAGTCAGATTAGGGCCAGTCAAGGACAGTAGTGGGAAGTTGTGCGTGGAGTCCAAAGAGATAGGAGAGGTGCTAAATGAATATTTTTCGTCAGTATTCACACAGGAAAAAGACAATGTAGTCGAGGAGAATACTGAGATACAGTCTATTAGACTAGACGGGATTGAGGTTCATAAGGAGGAGGTGTTAGCAATTCTGGAAGGTGTGAAAATAGATAAGTCCCCTGGCCCGGATGGGATTTATCCTAGGATTCTCTGGGAAGCTAGGGAGGAGATTGCAGAGCCTTTGGCTTTGATCTTTATGTCATCATTGTCTTCAGGAATAGTGCCAGAAGACTGGAGACTAGCAAATGTTGTCCCCTTGTTCAAGAAGGGGAGTAGAGACAACCCTGGTAATTATAGACCAGTGAGCCTTACTTCGGTTGTGGGTAAAGTATTGGAAAGGATTATAAGAGATAGGATTTATAATCATCCAGAAAGGAATAATTTGATTAGGGATAGTCAACACGGTTTTGTGAAGGGTAGGTCGTGCCTCACAAACCTTATTGAGTTCTTTGAGAAGGTGACCAAACAGGTGGATGAGGGTAAAGTGGTTTATTGTGGTGTATTTGGATTTCAGTAAAGCGTTTGATAAGGTTCCCCACGGTAGGCTATTGCAGAAAATACGGAGGCATGGGATTGAGGGTGATTTAGCAGTTCGAATTAGAAATTGGCTAGCTGTAAGAAGACAGAGGGTGGTGGTTGATGGGAAATGTTCATCCTGGAGTTCAGTTACTAGTGGTGTACCGCAAGGATCTGTTTGGGGACCACTGCTGTTTGTCATTTTTATAAATGACCTGGATGAGGGCGTAGAAGGATGAGTTAGTAAATTTGTGGATGACACCAAAGTTGGTGGAGTTGTGGATAGTGCGGAAGGATGTTGCAGGTTACAGAGGGACATAGATAAGCTGCAGAGCTGGGCTGAGAGGTGGCAAATGGAGTTTAATGCGGAAAAGTGTGAAGTGATTCACTTTGGAAGGAGTAACAGGAATACAGAGTACTGGGCTAATGGTAAGATTCTTGGCAGTGTGGATGAGCAGAAAGATCTCGGTGTCCATGTGCATAGATCACTGAAAGTTGCCACCCAGGTTGATAGCGTTGTTAAGAAGGCGTACAGTATGTTAGGTTTTATTGGTAGAGGGATTGAGTTTCGGAGCCATGAGGTCATGTTGCAGCTGTACAAAACTCTGGTGCGGCCGCACTTGAAGTATTGCGTACAGTTCTGGTCACCGCATTATAGGAAGGATGTGGAAGCATTGGAAAGGGTGCAGAGGCGATTTACCAGGATGTTGCCTGGTATGGAGGGAAGGCCTTATGAGGAAAGGCTGAGGGTCTTGAGGCTGTTTTCGTTAGAGAGAAGAAGGTTAAGAGGTGACTTGATAGAGACATACAAGATGATCAGAGGATTAGATAGGGTGGACAGTGGGAGCCTTTTTCCTCGGATGGTGATGGCTAGCACGAGGGGACATAGCTTTAAATTGAGGGGTGATAGATATAGGACAGATGTCAGAGGTAGGTTCTTTACTCGGAGAGTAGTAAGGGCGTGGAATGCCCTGCCTGCAAAAATAGTAGACTCACCCACTCTAAGGGCATTTAAATGGTCATTGGATAAACATATGGATGATAATGGAATAGTTTAGGTTAGATGGGCTTCAGATTGGTTTCACAGGTCGGCGCAACATCGAGGGCCGAAGGGCCTGTACTGCGCTGTTATGTTCTATGTTCTATGGTCTTGGACAGAATAGAATTAACAAAAAGACAGCATGATGTTAAAAGGGGGAAGTCTCATATAACCGAATCGGTTATTGAATCTTGTGAGCAAGTAACAGTGGGTAGAAGCCTTCGTGCATTCCTCTGTCATGCCTAAACTTTACCCACGGCACCTTTTAAAATGCAAAAGCAGGAAATGCAACATTTCACCTCTTCTCATTTCCAAGAACCTAAACAGACATTCCAAATGAAACAGTGATTCATCGGCACCAGTTTTGATTTCAGTTTGTTTATGAACTGGCCTCCTCATCGGCGTGATCAAATGTGTATTATTTGAGTCCTTTGCAGAATGGATCCTTTTTAACTCTGAGCGCAACTCTGACTTTCAGTTGCTGCATTTGAACGTGGACTGTTTTAATATCTGAGGAGTCACAAATGGTGCTGAATATTATGCAATCATCGGCGAACATCCCCACTTCTAACCTGTTGGGTGGCGGGAAGGTCAGTGCTGAAGTAGCTGAAGATGTTTGGGTGTAGGGCACTATCATAATGAACTCCTACAGAGATGTCCTGAAGCTAAGATAACTGGCCTCAAACAACTACAACTATCTTCTCACTTGCTAGAGATGATTCCAACTGGTGGCAGAATTTCTAACCCCCTACCAAATCCCATGACTTCAGTTTTGCTTGTGTCCTTTGGACCACTTGGTCAAATGCTGTCTTTGATGTTAATGGCAGTCACTCTCTCTCTCTTCCTTGCCCCGCCCTTGAGTTCATTTCTTCTCGGAGCTCTGCAGACCTGGTTGAATTTAAACTGACTGTCATTGAGCAGGTTATTGCTGATTTTAAATACTACTCAATAGCACTATTGGTGACACCTTGCTGATTACTGAGATTGAACAAGGGCAGTAATTGATTGCATTGGAGTTGTCTTGCAGATGTGGCATATCTGGGCAATTTTCCACATTACCAGGTCTACATACTAATTTTGTAACTTTGGATGAAGATTGGTGTTGTTCCCCTCCTTTTTAAATGTGCAGCCTCTTTATCTGACATTGAAATCCATTTTCAAAGTATTTATGTAAACATTAATCCAGTTTCAGTACCAGAAACTTGATTGATTTTTGTTGGAATGCTGATGGTGTACTTCTCATCTAATTTTTCTAAAATAGGAACGTCCTTTATCAAGTTACCAGCTGCCATTCCTCCGAGTCATAGTCATACAGCATAGAAACAGGCCCTTCAGCCCACCATGTCTATGCTGACTAACAAATGCCAAACTACACTAATCCCTTATGCCTGTACTTGATTCATAGCTTCAATGCCCTGGCATTTTAAGTGCTCATCCAGATACTACTTAGGTCTTGAGTACCACCCTCTCAGGCCTCATGTTCCATATTTCTGCCACCTGTTGTGTGATGTGTGAAATTTTTGTTTTTTCCAATCTCCTCTAAACCACTTGCTCCTCACAGGGAGGTGATGGCCTAGTGGTATTATTGCTGGACTGTTAATCCAGAGACCTGGATAACATTCCTAGGACCCAGGTTCAAATCCCACAACAGCAATGGTGGAATTTGAATTCAATAAAACATCTGGAATTAAGAATCTAATGATAACCATGAATCCATTGTCGGTTTTTTTTTTTGAAAAAACTCATCTGGTTCACTAATGTCCTTTTTAGGGAAGGAAACTGTCATCCTCACTTGGTCTGGCCTACATGTGACTCCAGACCCACAGCAATGTAGTTGACTCTGAACTGCCCTCTGGCAATTAGGGATGTGCAATAAATGCTGCCTAGCCAGTGATTCCCACATCCTGTTAATGAATAAAGAAGAAAAACTTCTGCAGTTTTCTTATTCCTTTCCATAATGACTTTGAACTTTAGAGTTATGACAACTATCCCCAAAATGCTCACCCACTGAAACCTCCACCACTTGGCTGGCTTCATCCCCTAGGATTAGGTCTAGCTCTGTCCTCCTCTCTAGTAGCACTATATACACACCAGCACAAAAAGCTCTCCTGGATGCACTTTGGAATTTCCACCCCCATCTAATTGTTTCATGCTAAGGCGATCCCAGTTAATGTAAGCAAAGTCAAAATCCTCAACAGCGATATCACTATTTGGCTTGCACCTTTCTGTGAGAACTTGTTGGTTTGTTTGAAATTGTAATTTTAAAACCCTGGGACAGGGGTTGTTGGGTGTTGGGAAGTGGGGGAGGGATTTGGTGGGGAAGGCTGTTGTAAGGGGACGGTGAGTGGTGCAGGGTGTGGAACACTGTTTGTAACTAGTAGCTGAATTGCAGGCTGCTCTGACCCTTGTTTCCACTTTGTTACCAGGGGAACCAGCCAAATATGATACGACTTTCAAGGGCCCAATCAAAAACAGGTAAGATTAAAAGCATGTACTGTCTCCGCAGCTCTGGGGTAAATAATCCCAAAGTCACAAACCTTTTGCATGGAGAACCCTTAATCTCTGTCCTTTAGCTTCCCTGACAAGAAGAAATTACCTCTCAATGTCTACCCTATTGATTCCCGTCAGAATCTTGCATATTTTGTGCAATGCACCGCCCATTCTTGTAAACTCCACAGACTAATGACCCAATTTACTCCGCTTTCCATTGTAGAACACTGTAGTTGGGTACTTGTTTTCAACCATGGATGCAATGGGCTGAAGAGACACTTTTCCCTTTGCTAAAGATCCCTATGACTTTGTGAATGTAATCCTGTCTCCCATCTGTCAAATCAATCTAGTGAGCCTTCACTCCGATGCAAGTATATCCTTTCTTAAATATTGATACCAAAACTGCAGATTATTAAGAAACACCGGTTAATGTCCAAATAAGCTATTTATTCTTCATTGCTTGTAAGTTAGTTTTTAATTCTTGGAGACTTGGTGTGATCCTAGATGGAAGGCACTGACTGAGTCTGCAAATGTCCCAAGGTGATCAAGTTCCATTTCTTGATTTTTGCCCTGGTGGGATTTGAACAGGGTTGACACTCAAATGCTATACACACTTCAACTCATGTGCCCAAGGTATCATGTATCCTAATGCAAGGGGACATAATTTTAATGTGAAAGGCTGGAAGTTCAGAGGGGATTTGAGGAATTTTTTTGTTCACCAAGTGGATGGTGAGGGTTTGGAATGCACAACCTGGGAGGGCAGTTGAGATAGGAAACCTCAGTCTTCTTTAAAAAGTGCTTGGACGAGCACTTGATGAGAACTTTTGAGTCATAACATTCAAAGCTTTAGGCCAAGTGCTGGAAAGTGAGACCAGTGTAGATTTTAGAGCCGTATTTGTCAGGGCACAATCAATGGGCTGAAGGGCCTCTTCTGTACTGTATGATCCTATGCTTGCTTCCAGGCCTGTACCAATGGTGTTCCCTGGGAAATTTAATTGGTGTGTCCTGATGGGACAGTTTTCTGAAACATATATAACTGGGCACCAAGACTGGGAAGTTTCCACAGCTTCTAAGCTACTCTGTAAATTTCAGTTTTCTGGGTTTGGTTGGTGTGTAGGGATGGGGAGCTGGTTGAGGGGGCAATGAATTACCTATACAGAAGTCAGTAAAAGTGGTCTGTCAAGTTGCAGGAGAATTTAACAAAACAGACAGCTTTATACGACCAGGGTTTCCCAAAGTGTAGTTTGAGGTCCCAAGTGAAAATGCAAGATAACATTCGGTCAAGTTCCTGCTGTAACAGACCCGTGACAATTTTCAAGCCTAGAAATAGGGTCCCGTTTGGCAGAAGGTCAGGCAGCACTGACCTAGGCTTTTATTAGTAGGGGTTTAGAGTGCAAGAGGAAAGGTGGCTTATGTTAGACTTGTATAAAGCACAGGTTTGGCCTCGAGTGCATTGCATCCAGTTCTGGGCACCGTGCTTGAAGAATGATGTGAAAGCTTGAAGCCAGTCCAGAATGGGTTCATGGGAATTGTCCCACAGATGAGGAAGATCAGTTAAATTGAGAGGTTGGAGAACGTGGGAAAGCTTTCAGTTGAGAGGAGTTTTGCTAGAGGTGTTCAAAATCTTGAACAGTTGACAGGGGGTAAAGCAAATGTTCCCACTAGTGGAAGGGTACAGATTTAAGGTATTGCAATGAGGGTTTTAGGTTCTGGACTGTGTTGCCGGGGGCTGTGCTGGAAGCAGCTTCAACTGAGGCATTCGAGAGGTAATTAGATTGTTATCAGAAAAGGAAGATTGCGAGGAGAAGGCAGGAAAGTGCCAATATGTGAATTGTTCCTTGAGAGAACTAGGGCTGGCACAGCAGGTCAAATGGTCACAGCACAGAAGGAGGCCATTCTGGATTGCATCATTTAAGAATGCTAGCCAACATTAATTCGGTTCTGACTTCATTAACTTTCTGATACTTGTTTATTGAATATGAATTGTTTTTAAGTGTATGCATAAACTGGGGATTCACCTGGGACTTCTATAAATGGGAGCAGTCTGAAATTTAGGATTATTAGGTTAGGAGATGTGTGTCTGTGAAGATCAAAATGCTCAAGTCTATGAAAATAGCCTTTGTTCTTTCCTTCAACTATGTATTTTCTACCGGATAGCATTTCTTAACCTATTAATGTTTTCCAGTTTTAATAGGTTACAATAATGTGATTAGAATGGGCAGGGCATGATAGCCTTTTTTTTTAGTGCTCTGTAGCTGCTTTATCTTTTCAATTTACTTTTTACTTCTATTTTATTTTCCACTTCTTTTCTCAATCTCTGCACACAGAACCTCCCTCCCACTTCCCCTCAAACAAAGATTCAGCTTCCTAGATATTAGAAGGGTATAAGTGACTGTGCAGAGAGCACTTAGGCCTCTTGGTCAGTGGTTGGACTGATCAGGCTTTTGTAAGCCTATTCTAATACAGTCTTGTGTGGCTTGGTTTTGAACTGTTTTGTTTTTGCTCCTGCGATGCACCTGAGGATTGTTCTAACTCCAGATGCTTTTTAAATGCAATTATCCTGTGGCTCAGCATGTAAATGGAAGTGTTCCCTTTTTAGAGGCACATTAGGCATTTTTGTTAAGAAACCAGTTATGGGAAAAGGTGCTTATAAACTGGGAGTGAAGGGACCGCCTTCTTATTAATTACAAATCACGGTGCAGCCCATGTACGATGTAATGTTATTTATAAATGCATGGGACTTGTTCTATGTAAAACTGTTCAGCACACAGCATTTTCCTGATTTTTATTCACCTTGCGAAGTCCATTTCAAATAGGCATTGTGACAGGTCGAAGTGAGCCAAGCCAAAATTGTATTCTGGCCAAGTATTCACTTTGTGTCTTTGCCTGTGAGGAAAATGAATTTTCAATTGTGACACTGAAACACAACCTGCTCGAAATACACCCGAGTTTTAATGAAAAGTCAACTCAACCTGACATGTTTAAATTTGTTTCTCGCTCCAGTGGTGTTGCCTGACTTGAGAATTTCCAGCATCTTAAAGACATATTTTTTTTTTTTTTTGTCTTTGGATTTTCAATATCTGCAACATTTTTTTGCTTTTTCATTTTTGATTGTGCTGAAGGTTAGGCTGTGCTGCCCCTGTCAGGGGCCCTGGTGCAAGGAATTAAGGCGCTTATTTTTCCTTTTGCCAAGTTTTTGAAACTTAAAAATTTAGCTGAAAGCTTTGAACTGTTCTGTATGTCCAAACGTAAACCATCTCTAACAAAGACAAGAGGCATATTGAAAATAGAGGTTATGAAGATTTTCATAACTTGGTGAACCGGGCATCAGAGGTATCTAGGGAAGGGTCTCGACCCGAAACGTCAGCTTTCCTGCTCCTCTGATGCTGCTTGGCCTGCTGCGTTCATCCAGCTCTACACTGTGTTATCTCGGATTCTCCAGCATTGGCAGTTCCTACCGTCTCTCCTGATTTATCACATGTTGTTTAAGTTCGAATCATAGAATCCCTACAGTGAGGAAACAGGCCCTTTGGCCCAACAAGTCCACACCGACCCTCTGAGCATCCCACTCAGTCCCATCCCCCTATAATGCACCTAATCTACACATCCTTGAACACTGTGGGCAATTTAGCATAGCCAATCCACCCAGTCTGCACATCTTTGGACTGTGGGAGGAAACCGGAGCACCCAAAGGAAACCCACGCAGGCACGTGGAGATTGGGTGTCTGTGTGGAGTTTGCGCAAGGGTGGAATCGAACCCAGGTCCCTGGTGCTGTGAGGCAGCAGTGCTAACAACTAAGCCATCGTGTCGGGGTTAAAGCTTTAGCCCCTATTGTCTGTAACAAGCAAAGCTAGTGCAGAGAGATGATTGACAAGTGAGATATTCCAATTGTCTTATTGGCTTCTAGCTATAAGCCTTGCTGTCAGACCTTTGGTTAAAAGAACAGACTACGTCTGTGAAAAAGACTGGAAAAGCCAAGATAGCATGAGACATGTGGACGTTGAAGTGTAGGAATTGTAATACCTGTGCTATAATCTGAATAAAGCTCGAAGGTGTTTGGTTACCCACAAGAGAGCTTTACACTTCATGATATGAAGTTTACCACCCTGCACCTATGCATGAAATAAATGATCATAACCTGATTTATTGAGACCTCTTTTAAATTTGTAAAGTTGACCCCATTACAGTTGTATATGTTTTCTGTCTGATTTATGTAATGTATCGTGTAAACTGCTGAATCTTAACAAACTTAATAAACTATCTTAAATTCCTTATAAATGGTTCACTTTACACTGGGAAGGACAGCACCTTGGGCTCAGATTAAGGGTGAGGCAATGGCTTAGTGGTATTGTCGCTGGACTGCTAATCCAGAAACCCTGATAACATTCTGAGGACTGGAGTTCGAATCCTGCCATGGCAGATGGTGGAATTTGAACCAAATAAAATCTGGAATTTGGAATCTTGCAATGACTACGAATCCATTGTCAATTGTCAGGAAAAACCCCTCAGGCTCACTAATGCCCTCCAGGGAAGGATACTGCCATCCTTGCCTGTTCTGGCCTACTTGTGACTCCAGGCCCACAGCAATGTGGTTGACTCCTAACTGCCCTCTGGCCAATAAATGCTGGACTAGCCAGTAATACCCACATCTCACAAATGAATAAAAAATAAGTGATTGGCACCATCCAAGGGCTTTGGAGGTAGTTGAGGATCAGCGCTGTCTGGGCAATGTGCCTTCATTTCATTTGTTGATGTTTATTTCTGGTTATGGACTCAGAAGAACCCCTGTCTCTTTTCCCTGCAGGAGTTGCACTGACATCCTCTGCTGCGTACTGTTTATGGCCTTCATTGTGGGTTACATGATCGTGGGGATCTTGGGTAAGTATCAAATTGGGTTTAATTTTGTCTTCCTCAGTCACTATTGCCAGGATTCTCTTCTTATTTTTAACCCCCCACCCAGTGGCCTCCGTTTATCACAGGAAGGAGTTCTCCCCCTCCACCCCAACCTTTCCCACCATGACTGAGTGACTTTCATATCTCTGTTGTTCTAAGATGGCGGGTGATCCAGTAGATCTAATCTTTAGGAAAGAGAGAGAATGTTGTCTGTTATACCCTCCCATCCTGAGTCCTACCCAAAGAGCATCAGGACAATTTATTCCTTTTTTTTAATCTAAAAGAACCTAAGAAATAGACACTGGAAGAGACCACTCAGCCCTTCCACTTTGTTCCACCGTTCAATCCGATCACAATTGATCTCCTACTGCTCCTCCACTTTGTTGCAAAATTCATGTGTCCCTTGATCCAGGACTGACCAGAAACTGATCTGGACTGACCACGTAAATATGGTGGATGCTGCTATGTGGTCAGAGGCTAGGAATTGAAAATGCTTAACTCCTCTCCTGTCTCCTATCCACAAGGCTTAAGTCAAGAGTGTGATGACTTAGTCCCTGCTTGTTGGATCAGTACTGCCCCAAAAACACTGAAGAAGCTTGACATCGTCCAGCTCAAAGCAGTCTGTTTTGATGCAGTCTGTTTAATGTCTACAAGATGAATTGTACAATTGTATTTTCTTTTAACAGTTGAACACCACCATTAATTGATTGCATTATTGCCAGAAAGAACTGCACACTGCCCCCACTCCGGTTGTCTGAACCTTAATTTCAACACTGTTTAGACTTTCAACAAGCACCGAACAGCATTTGCCAAGTGTGTTGAGAGTGTTTACACTGACTGATGGGTTGTGAATGCTGCAAAGGCTGAGCTCGGTGAATGTTAATGACAAATCTTTGGAATCCTGCCTATATATTTACACAGCAGGACACAACCAGGACCAGTTAATCCGTGGCACTGAGACATCCTGGTTTCTGTTTTAACTTTAAATAAAGTGGTTCTGTTTGCACTAGGGGCTGGTACTGAGAACCGCCCAGGATCCCTCACCCACAGTGGTAACATTTCCTGCTGGAACATGTTGGTGCCTTTTATTGCCTTGGACCTTTTTTATTAACTGCAGCATGGGGTCAGTGTGACTCTCTCCTTGGGGGGTAAAAGGGGCTTTGTCCCTTGTTTTGTGCACTCCAGAATGCCTCTCTATCCCCAAACTACCACGATAGCACTATGGCCCTTTGGACTTCATGGTGGTGCTGTAGTCACATTACTGTTTTAGGACTGCAGACTGATCTCGAGAACAAGAGTTCAAACCTAACCCCACCAGCTCAGAAATTTGTTTCCAAATTTTTAATTGTAATTTTTAATTAAATGCAGAGTTAGAAATATTTATTCTTGATGCTAATAATCCTGAAACTAGTCATTGTAAAACTAGTCATTGTCTTCTCTCCCACCTATCCGTTCCTCCCACCTCACTGGCCAACCCCCATTCCCACTTCCTACCCACACACCTTTTTACTAGCTTCTTCCCCACCTTCTTGACCTGTGCGTCTTCTCTCCCACCTATCCGCTCCACTATCCACCTTGTATCACCGTCCCCTCCCTCTCTATGTATTTCAGAGCCCCCTTCCCCTTTCCCCATTTCTGAAGAAGGGTCCAGACCTGAAACATCAGCTTTCCTGCTCCTCTGATGCTGCCTGGCCTGCTGTGTTCCTCCAGCTCTACACCTTGTTATCATTGTAAAAACTTAGCTGGTTCATGAAGGAAATCTGCTTCCTTTACTTGGTTTGGCCTAAATGTGACTCAGGACCCACAGCAATGAACCTAATTCTTAACTTCACTCTGAATTCGCCTGGCAAATCACGTTTTGTACCAAACTGCCACCAGCGTAACTACACTTTCAGATGGCAGTGGTTCCAGTAGGTAGCTCGCCATCGCCACCTTGAGACCAATTACAGATAGGCAATAGGCCTTGCCAGTCAATTTTAAAACTCCAATTCAAAATTCCTGTGTCTTAATCTATAATGGTAATTAACTGTATAAACCTGTCACACTAATTCCATAATTCCATAATCCCCAGCAGTGGAAAGATTAAACTGCAGCTATTCCACTTTCCATAGGAATTTACATTTGCGAGTGTAGAAGTAATTTATTCTCCTGTAAGGAGGAATCTGACTATAAAATTTTAATAAAAATGGTAAAATGTCATGGAGCATAGAGAATTAAAGGAACCCTCTCACAGTCCTGCTTGTTATTTCCTCCTCCTAAGTGTGCATTCAATTCTTTTTGTTATTCAGTATTGCTAAAGACACATTTTTGTCATGGTATCTTGTCTTGCACTCATCAGAACAACTTGCAAGTTTTCCTCCAATAATGTGTGGCCATCCATTCAGAAAGATGTTCTGCCTGTCTCTCTCATGAGTAAGAGTATGTGCATTTCAGTGCTGGTGTGATGCCAAGTATGCAGACTGGACATCCCAAAGACTGGTGGATCATCTCAAATAACATACTTATGGCTGTTTGCAACAAGCAAGTAACTAACTGACTGTACCCATCCAGACAATGCTTTGAAAACACGCCACAGCATCCGACATTAGAGGTGTTTCTGCAATAAGATGTTTGCTAAATAATCCTGAGTGTGTGAAGATTTACACTGATAGCCAATTTAGATTGTCAGATGGGTTCATAGTGTGGTGCACGTGTGCATATTGCTTTATCAATACCTATATTCATACATGGGGCTCTATCCTATGTAGATAGGAAAAGAAAACGTGTACACACACTACCTATTTCAGCACAAGGAAATAGATGATATTTTCATCTCTCAGGGCATTGCACTGAGAAGCTAATCAGATGCAACCTGCATGGGTTAAAATTTAAACCAAGCTTTGACATCAACTATCAGTCATTGTTATTTGGTACATCCTCCATGGCAATACCTCCTAGCAATCAGTGTCCACTTTCCCTCTCGGAGAACAAAATATTGTTTTCCCTTTATGTTGGTACTTTTTTTTTTTTTTTGCAAATTGTCCTGATGAGTGCAGGAGGAAAAGTTTTGACAAAATGTCTTTGCTCCCGGCAAAACTTAAGTTCTGTACTGCCAACAGATTATCTTCTTGCAACAAAAACAGAAATTGCTGGAAAAGCTCAGCAGGTGTGGCAGCATCTGTGAAGAGAAATCCGAGTGAACGTTTCGGGTCCGGTGACCCTTCTTAATAACCTGAAGCTTGAACCTGGACCTGAAATGTTATTTCTGATTTCTCTCCACAAATGCTGCCAAACCTGCTGAGCTTTTCCAGCAATATTGTTTGTTTTTTTTTTTTTGGGTTCTGATTTACAACATCCGCATTTCTTTTGACTGTCTTCTGGTTCCCAAAAGTTAGATATAATCACAGTTTAGGTGCAAGACATTAGACCTACACGGAGTATATTTCTTTCAGCTCTCCATTTGGACAGTAAGCTGATAAATTGTTACTCTGCGTGAGAATGAATCTGAATCTGGCACCCAGGGTATATATTCATATAACCATCAGTTCCTGGCCTTTACAGATTGAACAAAATAGCGCACAATTTTCTGTGAAATACATATTTCTTCCCACTTGCATTTGGCACCGCCCTGTTGGCCACTTATTTGGGTAAGTCTGACTATATATTTGGGATGAGTTTATTGTCCGGGTCCATTGTTGCCTCCCACTGACTGTGTGTGTTTGTCTTGTTTGTTGTGGTATTTTCCAGCCTGGTTATATGGTGATCCGCGTGAAGTGATCTATCCCAGGAACTCCACTGGCATGTACTGTGGCATTGGGAGTAATGAGTAAGTAACAGCTCTGCTGGGTTTTAGAGGGAGGTGGTGCCAAAAGACTTTGCAGCTTCAAGGTGCACTATGTCACCTGAGCATTGGGGGTTGGGAGTAGGCTGTGGGAGTCAGCTGGACCTGTTGGTTACAAGTATGTCCATGTCCATTCAATGCACTTAGATGCTCAAGTTCCTATAACCCCGTGGTTTTTTTGTTTTTTTTTTCCATCCTCTCAAAATAAAAGACTTATTTCTCTGCCCGGGTTACAGTATATATTGAGTTAGTTCCTCAGAATTGAGGTAGCATCAGAAGTCTCTGGAAAATCCTGTCCTGTGAATTATTGTCAGGTTAATGATGGGTGCAGCTTCCAGGATGTTCCTTGCAGTCAAATAACTTGCCAGTGACTTCCTGAGGCTTGCACAGGAGGTGTGTGGTATCTATGAAACTGTGTTCTTTACAAGGTGATGGGATTAAGGGGGTGGGTACGAATGCCTGCTTTGACCAGGTTGATGCCCAGGATACCCACAATTGTGCCAAGGATGATGATGATGATGAAGAAATGTTTATTGGAATCCACACGTTAACATGTGCACTTTCTCTTCCAAGGGGTAAACCTTATGCCTTCTACTTCGACATCCTGAAATGTGCCTCTCCAACAGGCATCCTGGCCTCTGCCCTGAATGGCCTTCAGTGTCCAACAACCCAGGTACTGTCTGTGTGAGGATTCTTCATTGCAGCGCAAGCAATAAGAGTAGCCCATGTGGCCCCTCAAACGTGCCTCACTTTGCCATGAGGTCATGAGTGATTTTTCTACCTTGAATCTAGCTTTTTGACATGACCCTCCATATCCCTTAAGCCCCTCGGTGCTCAAGTGTCCTCGGTAGACAAATTCGCAAAAAGCCACAATTGTTTAGACGAAGAAATTACTCCTCATCTACCCTGTCAATCCCTCCAGGAATTTGAGGTGTTTTTGTGAAATCATCTCTCATCGTTCTAAACTCTAGGGAATAAGGGCCTAGTCGAATCAACCTCACCAATCTGACCAAATCAGACAATTTCCTCCATTCCGGGAACCAGCCTCATGAACCTTCATTGCACTGCACTCCTCCCTCAAGGGCAATAATTCTCTCCTTGAGTAAGGAGACTAAAACCGTACTCAGCAACATTGGCCCTGTTTGACTGAAATAGGATTTCTTTCTTCTTTTATACTCCAGTCCCTTTTGTAATAAAAACTGACTTCTAATTACTTGCTGTACCTGCTTGGTAACTTTGTGACTCCTATACAAGGACGGACAGGTTCCGCTGTATGTAATGTCTTGCACTCAGGGCCCTTACAGAGCTCTTTACAACCATACGTATAGAATCTCAGAATTCTTATTGTGTAGAAGAAGGCCATTCAGCTCATCAGCTGGCCTGTGCCAGCTCTCCAAATGAACATCTGAGCTAATGCCATTTGTCCTGCCTTCCCCAGTAACCCAACACATTGCTTGGCTATTTGAAAGGGAACAAGTACCTTTTGAATGCCTTGATTGAACTTTTCCTCCACCATATACTCACAGTGCACTCCATACCTTAACTATTTGCTGCAAAAAGACATTTTCCTCATGTCACTTTTTTTTTCCTTCTTTTACTAATTACTTTAAATCTGTTCCCTCTCGTTTTTTGATACTATTGTTGCAAAGATCATTTTTCTCCATATGTAACCCAGAGCCCTCATGAGTTTCTTCCATCAGATCTCCTCTTAGCCACCTTCTCAGCAAACAGGCCAGAGAAGCTGAGACTGTTCTATGTTCATAACTGAAATTCCCCATCCTTGTAAACCTCATCTGCACTGCTTCCAATGCTTCACATCCTTACTAAAATTTGGTGCTCCAGAACTAGATTGAATACTTCAGCTGAGGTCAACTTCAACTCCCTGCTTTGTACAGTTGCACCTTTTATTAATAAATGCTAGGATACCATTTGCTTTAGTAATTGCTCTGTCCACCTACCCTACCACCTTTTTTAATAACTTGTGTACATATAGACTCCAGTTCCTTAGCTACTGCGACCCTTTTAAGTTATACCCTTTATTTTACTGCCTCCATGTTCTACCAATCATTCCACATTTCTCCATATTGGACTACATTTGCCACCTATCTCCCCACTCCAAAGAATTGTCTATCTTTTTTGAAGTTCTACACTTTCCTCCTCACTGTTTACGATGCTTCCAAATTTCATTTCATATTTGCAAGTTTTAACATTGTACCCTATCTCCTAGGTCTGGTTCACTAATATATATCAGGAAAAGCAAGGGTCCCAACACTGACTCCTGCGAATACCTGCTGCCAACCTCCAGCCTGAAAAGCATCCATTGACCACTGCTTTGTTTCCTATCCCCCACTTTTGTATCTATGTTGCTACTGTCCCTTTGATTCTACGACCTGTAACTTTGCTGTGATTGTGCAGCACTGTATCGAATGACTTTTTGAAGTCTATGCACACCACATCAACTGCATTGCCCTGGTTAACATTCTGCAACCACTTCAAGTTCCACTAAGTTAGTCCATCATGATTTTCTTTTAACAAGTCCATGCTGGTTCTGTTCAATTAGCTTGTGTTTGCCCATGTGAATATTACATTTTTTTTTTCTCCTGAATTATTCTTTCTGGAAGTTTTCCAATGCTAACAGTAAACTGTCTGTCTGTATTTGCTTGGATAATCTTTGAACACTATTTTTGAAAACGTTTGCAAATCTGCTATCCTCTGGCCTCACCAATGAGCCTGAGGAGCATTAAGTAGGCCATTTTGCCTCAAGTCTGCCCCACCATTCTATAATGGTTAATCTGCCCCAGGCCTCAACTTCTCCCTTTTTTTCCTTTTCCTTGTCATCATCATTCTTAACTCCTTGACATTTCTGCAATCTATCCACCTCCTCATTAAATACTTTGTGATCTATCCTCCATAGCTTTCGAAGGTAGAGAATTCCAGATATTCACTAGCCTCTGGGAGAAGGAATTCCTTCACATCTGTTTTAAATAAGTGTCCCCTTATTCTGTAACTGTGTTCCCTCATCTGAGATTGCCCAAGTAGTGAAACCACCTTCTTAACATTTACCTTGTGAAGCTCCCCACACTTAGAATCTTGTATGTTTCAATAAGATCACCCCTCCCTTTTCAAAACTCCCGTGAATTAAACCCCAAACTCTCTTCAGCTGTTCTTGATATGCCAACCCTTTTTCCCATGAAACAACCTAGTGCATTTCTTTAGAAAACCCCCACCTTCCCCTAAGGCCACCTAAAGAAGAGTGAAAAATTATGGCCAGTGCCTGTTCAACTTCCATTCTTACTTACCTAGCTATCTTTTGGATGCAACTCATCCAGTTTTGGTAACCTGTCTACAGATTGCCTATCTGACACCTCCTCCTCTTTGTCAGTTGTAAAGCCTTCTAACAAATTTCCTCCTCTGTTAGTATGACCTCCATAGACATTATCACTACCTTTTTTCCCTTTTTTTGTTCTTTCCTGAACACCTTGTTTTCAGGAATACTTAACACCCAGGGCTATGTCTAAGCCCTGGAACATTATACCCGGAACATTATATTTCCGCCAGGAAATTTGTACCTTTGATTCGCCAGTCTTCCTCACCCAATTCCGTGCATTCACTTACATCTACTCCCTCCACCACTAAAGCTCCGGAGCAGCAGTGTGTGCTGTTTCCAAGGTGCACTGCAGAAATTCACCAAAGATCCTTGGACAATACTTTCCAAACTGACGACCACTTCCATTTAGAAGGACAAGGGCAGCAGATACACTAGAACATCACCCGCAAGTTCCCCTCCAAGCCATTCACCATCCTGACTTTGAAATAGATCACTGTTTCTTCACTGTTGCTGAGTCGAAATCCTGGAATTCCCTCCCTGATGGTATAATGGAACTATCTACAGCACGTGAACTGCAGCAGTTCAAGGACACAATTCGCCATCACCTTATCAAGGGAAACTGGAGATGGGTAATAAATACTGGCAAAGTCCCATAATGCAGTTTTTTGTTTTTTTTTAAAAACTCATTACCATAGACCTGGCTCTGGCTGCACTCCCTCAACCAACAATCATTCTCATCAGAATTCAGAATGAAATCCTCGTTGGGGGACTGGAGGACTCCTGTACTGCCTGCTTGTTCCCTTTTCAACTGCCCGATGGTCACCCATTCCCGCTATCCCTTTATACTCTCTCTAGATGCAAGGTGACCAGATCTATAAGAGTGTCGTCCATGTGGCTGTCAGTCTTGCTGAGGCACTGCTGTGACCCCAGTTACTGCTTCAGTTCAAAACCTGGAGTTCGAGCTGCTGCTTCTGATGACACTCCCTGCACAAGTGATTAGCCAGGCTATAGGAAACATCCTGAAATTCCCACATGGCACTGGCTATGCATTCTCGAGGTCAAAGCCATTCCATTACTTATTAACCTTGCTACTGCCAACAAAACTTTTACCAATATTAATAAACAAAATAATTACAGCTAATTATAAAACCTTACTTCCACTGATAAATCTGACTAATAATTAACACCCCTTAAAGTTGCAATAAACCATATTTAAAACATTTACAGCCTCTGCACTGAATTCCAAGTGAGCCAAATTTGTGACTACGCTCTGCCTATGTCTCACTCAGATATAGTCGTCTAATTATGTGTCCCTTATGGACCAGAATTGTGAGAACTTTCCTTTCTCTGATCATCAAAGTGCTTGCTTGAGGTTACTGTGTTGTCTTAATGGAGATATCGCTAAAAAACTTCACAGCAATGTCAAGAGAGGGGATTTTAACTTTATTGCTGATCTTATCATTACAGGGCTAATCCTGAGCTTGCTCTTGTACCTTAGGACCCATGCAGAATAGTGGAAGATGTGACCGGATGATTAGCACTTTCACAGGCTGTTTCCCTCTTATCCCAGTTGAAATGCTCCATCTTTCTTTATTGGCAGATCTGTGTTTCACAATGTCCCAGCAATTTCTGGCTTTCAGGAATTTCACCTTTAAATGGCTTCAATCAGAAATACTGCAACCCTTCCATTAACCTGTCGACCACCACATTGGTGAGTATGGCTGTTATAAACTTTGCTTAAACAGTGCCTCATATGATTACTTGGCTCTCTTCTGATGAGAGAAAATGAGTTTATTACCATGCTGCCTTGCTAACTGTGTTTTACCCCTCCAGCTTTCAAATTTGATACTTGTGTGCCACCTATTTGCTATGTGTTAGTTATTTTGTGCTGAGCATCTGTTGCAGTAACTCAATGAGTCACAGTCGTGCTGTGGAATTGGAAAGTTGTGCATTCGAACTTCACTCCAGACTTGAGTGAAGATCAAGGTTATGACCGTCCAGTGTTGGTCATAAAGGGCACTGCTGTGGCCAAGATCTTGTCTGTGCTCTCTGGATGACCGGAAAGACCCAACAACTACTAGAACCTCTGTCGCACCAAGTGTGGATTCCTGAACATTTTTATTTCTGCAATAACATCATAAAAGAACAAATCACCTGGACACGGGGATCATAACACCATAAGATACAGGAGCAGAATTAGACAGTTCAGCCCATCAAGTCTGCTGCACCACTCGATCGTAGCTGATCTGTTTCTCCATCTCCCTTCTCCCAATAACCCTTGAACCCCTCAGCAAACAAGAACCTATCCATCTCTGTCTTCAATAAATTCAATGACTTGGCCTCCACAGCCCTCTGCAGCAATAAGTTCCACAGATTCACCACCCTCTGGCTGAAGTTATTCCACCTCCTCTCTGTTCTAACGGGGTGTCCTTTCACTCTGAGGGTATGTCCTGGGGTCCTAGACTCTCCTGCTAGTAGAAACAGTCCGGCCTGTGGGAGCCTGCTGCGAGCAAATCAGTTGAGGCATGCAACAAATTAACCGCTTTCTGTTATATCCTGAGATTGTGGAATTTTTGTTTTCCTTGCCCATGGGGAAGATGGTGGTAATGTCACTGGACTAGCAAGTCACCAGCTGAGGCTTACATAGGTTTTGGATTGTGGGGGAAACACAGGTTCACATCCCACCATAGCTGCTTGCAGAATTTAACAACTTTCACAACCATTGTTTTAGTTATCATCAATTGTTGTGAAAACCCATGTTGTCAGGGAGGCTCTTGAGGATAGTAGTTTCTCTTGTTAACCTAACTGAGAGTCCAGAGCCACAGCATTGTGATTGGCTTTTCACTCCTCTCGAGCTGTTTGGGATGCTGGCCTCCCTAGTGATGCTCACGTCCCATGAAAGGATTTTTAAAAATTCTTTTTTTTTTTCATGGAAATTCTTCCTCTACTGTTCGGTGTCCTCACTTCTCCCTGTTGTCCCATAGGCACTTAATGTTCTATCAAAATACTCAAAATTGTTCATCCTCGTGTCAGGAAACAAAAATAAACAAACTAACCTCGTCTTCAACTTTGTTTTATTTATTTCAGACACCACAAGATATTTTGGTGAAAGAACTGTGTCCAAAATACACTATTCCAAGTTCACCTTGTAAGTGTCTGATATCTCCTGACATAGGTTTCAGCGTGAGACTTGCCCCTTGGGGGTGTTGCTGTCTTTGCATCTGTACTTTAAGGAACAGTTTCACTGGGTGAAGGAAATGCCTTGGTCAGATTTGGAGTAGCTTCATTCAGCATTTGACTTCCAGGGATTGTAAGGAATGTTGTCCATAGGGTCAGGAAGAACTTTTTTTTTTCTTTTTCCAAAGGAGCGGGCAGTAGGGAGGAATGTTCGTTCTTCAATTTGAATCCCAAGGGTCAAGTAGTGTGTGGTGAAGGAGCTTTTGAGGCGTTGGTGAGATCTTGCCTGGCACAGGACTGCCTTCTGTGTTTTCTCACCCCCAAGTGCTGAGTGCCATGTCCTCTGGAAGTTAAGGGTTGGTGGTGTAAGCGCACTGCGCGTTTTCTTCTTGTATCACCAGCTCCTATTTATTGTTTGCAGTCCTTGGTCGGTGCGTGCCAAAGATAGGTGACGTGTTCCCTGCCAACTTTACCCTTAACGGTGCTGGCACTGCCAATGAGACAGCTGAACAGGTGAAAAATGCTGTTGGGTAAGTCTATACCAGTTTATTCCACTTCATCCAACTTGGCCCCTGTCTCAAAGCGTCTGCCACTGACTGTTTCAGCCCCCCATCCTCACCTCTAAATTCTTGCATTCCAACGTACTCCTGCTGCCTTCTCACCCGATTATACGTTTTTCAGTTCATCTGCAAACCTGCTACCCATTTCTTAGCTTACAGTGTCTACTGCTGTTTCAGCCCCCACTACGTCCACCCTCTGCTCACTCACTGACTGCATTGGAAACCGGTCAAGCAATGCTTTAATTTTGTAATGCTCATTTTTGTTTTCAAATCCTTGCACAGCCTCAATCCCACCCCCACTCCCATCTGTGCAATCTCCTTCTGACCCTCTAATTTTGTTTTTATTTGTGCATGGGATGTGGGCATCAGTGGCCAGGCCAATGTTTATCGCCCATCGTTAATTGCCACTTGAAATAACTGGCTCGCTTGAGCCATTTCAGAGGCCAGTTAAGAGTCAACAACCACATTGCTGAGAGTCTGGTGTCACATGTAGGCCAGAGCAGGTAAGGCTGGCTGTTTCCCTAAAGGGCACTGGCGAACAACAATAGACAATGTTTGTTTGTCATTAGACTAGCTGTACCATGGTGAGATTTGAATCCATGCTCCCCCATTTGTCCTCATTCGGTGGACAACTCGTCCAGTGACCATACCGCAGCACCACCCCCCCCCCCCCCCCCCCCCGCGGAATCCTGTAATTCTTGTTCATCTGTTCATCTCTCATCTCAATCACTCCTTCATTGGTCCCCAGGGATTTTGTTGCTTGGGCCCCAAATTCCCTGCCTGATCCCCTCCAACCCCGTCTCCCTGCCTCAATCCCATCCCTCCCCCTTTCCTTCTGTAGCTCATTGCCAGATAATTGTGATAGAAGCCTCTTAGGAAGCATGTTGGCGCTGTGTACGGTGTTGAAGGCACTATGCTCGTGTGTTGAATTGCTATCTGAAGTGGGGTTCTTGTATAAAGTTGGCCAGGAGAGGTGGTGAGATTATTTCTTAATATTGTTCATGTTGGAGGCTAACTTTTTTAACTTGTCTGTTCCAGGGATCTACTGGGTAGCTTCAATGCCAGGGAGGTAGGGATGAGGATTTTTGAAGATTTTACCAAGTCCTGGTACTGGATATTAATGTGAGTTCACTTTACATCCATCGACTCACCAGGAACATGACTATTAGCATGTTACTTCTTTCATCAATAATTTCCCTGCTGCTGTCCTTTTTTTGTTTTAAATTTTATTTCCCAGCCAGTTTGTGCACCTTCTGAGGTTTCCCTCCGGATATATCAATGGGACAGTTTTAACTGTCCCGTTCAGGTGGACCAGACTGGGCATTTTAACACTGGCTGCCATCCGTCCGTCCATCCATCCATCCATAGTAGGCTGAACAGCCTCATCCTATCCCTTGGCAAGCAAGGGAATCAAAGATTTGTGGGGCAAAAGGCAGGAGAAAGCATCAATACAATCAGCTCTTCCTTATCGAATGCTAGAGCAGACTCGGGGGCGGGGGGGAAATGGCCTACACTTCCTATATTGTGCGTCCACGCAGCTGTGCTTCCTTCCTTTTCCAACCGGTGGATTTCTTGTGTAGTCATGTCATGTAATTCTTCCACTGACCTGAAGGACAACCCTCAGGTCAGAGGTCATCCAGATGAATAGAAACTTGTGGTCAAGGTTACCTCCCTTTACAGTGTGAGCTCTGTCCCAGGATTGTTTTGAATCTGCTACTTGCACCATCCACCAGCTTCCTTTTGGCAATCGGTGAACCATCTATCACTGGATATGTTGATGATTCGTGAGGAGTCTAGTTGCCCAGCATTAGAATGGATCTGATAACATGGGAATAAGATTGTGAATACCCGAACATATGAATTAGGAGCAGATCTTGGCTGATCTTTGTTTCAAATTCCACATTCCCATCCGTCCCCAATAACCTATGATCCCTTCCCTAACAAGAAACTATCAGATTACCCCACTTTCAATGTTTCCTGAGGCAGTGTTCTAAAGTTGTATAACTGCCTTAGAGAAATCATTTTCTCTGCATCCCTTGCCATAGAATTCCTACAGTGGGGAAGCAGACCATTTGGCCCATCGAGTCCACTGAACCCTCAGAAGGGCATCCCACCCCATCCCTCCAACTCTGCATTTCCCATGGCTAATCCACCTAGACTGCACATAGCTGGACACTATGAGCAATTTACCATGGCCAATGCACCTAACCTGCGCATCTTTGGACTGCAAGAGGAAACTGGAGCACCCAGAGGAAACCCACACAAACAGGGGGAGAATTTGCAAACTTCTCACAGACAGCCACCCCAGAGTGGAATCAAACCTAGGTCCCTGGCACTGTGAAGCAGCAGTGCTAACCACTGAGCTACCGTGCCGACCCTTAAGACTTTGATCAGATCTCCCTTTTAATTTTCTAAATTCCACAGAAAACAGATCTAATTTGTATAATCTCTCCTCATAACTTAATCCCCTGAAGTCCAGGTATCATTATTGTAAACCTGCATGCGCTCCCTCTGAGGCCAATATATCCTTCGTGAGGTGTCCAGACGTGCTCACAGTATTCCAAGTGGGGTCTATTCAAGATTTTGTATAACTGCAGCATAACTTCTGGAAATTCTGGAAATCTAACGAAATCTCTTTACAAGCTCCCCTTTATTTATAATGCACATTATTCATTCACGGCGCCCCAGTAAGTTGGTTAAATAGATTTCACAAAACCATGCTGACTCCTCTTGTTTGTCTAAGTGTGACACTATAACTACCTTGATTTTATCACCTTCCCAATGAAGGCCAATTAATTTCCTCTTTACTGCCTCCCTCTCTTGCATATATTCTCTGCTTTTTAGTTTGGATTTAGTTTGAATTTTGGAAAATTAACACCAACACATCTACTGCATCATTGCCCAGCTCTCTGAGACCTCCTGATGAAATTCATCATGACCCAGGGACCTATCAGCCTGCAGCTCTATCAGTTTACTCAGTACCACTTCCCTAACATTGTAATTTCCCTAAGTTTTTCTCTATTCCAGCTCCAGATTTACAGCAAAACATTTGATCATTTAATTCACTATTTCCTTACTACATACTAATAAATACCCATTCTCAATCAGAAGATCAACAGTCCCATTACTTTTCTCCCTTTTTTTAATTAATTGTAAAAATTCTTACCATTTGTTTTTACATTCCTAGCTAGTGGTCTCTATTTCTAATTTCTTCCTCCCTTATAATCATTGTAGGGATTTTATGTGGGAGCAGGCCATTCGGCCCAGCGGATCCACAGTGACCCTCCAAAGAGTATCCCACTTGCCGATGCTATGCCGGTAACCCTGCATTTCCCATGACTAACCCATCTAGCCTGCACACCCCTGGACAATAAGTGCAATTTAGCACAGCCAATCCACCTAACCCTCACATCTTTGGACTGTGGGAGGAAACAGGAGCACCTGGAGGAAACTCCAGCAGATTTGGGAATAATGTGCAAACTCCACACAGTCGCCCAAGGGTGGAATTGAAAAGTGCTAACCACTGAGCCACCGTGCCACCCGGTTAATTATCCAGTCATTCTCTGCGGTTCTTTGTATTCTATCCAAACAACTGATCTGCTACTCATCTCACGTAATTGTATGCTTTTTTTCTTCAAGTTTGGTGCTTTCTTTAACTCCTTTAGCTAACCACAGATAGTTAGTTTGGTCTTCCTGATGGAATTTTCTTTATAATAGGAGTACGCCCCGCTAAGTATTCTGAAATATCCCCTTGAATATTTGCCCACTGCTTCTCTATTGATCTGTCCCCGCACCAATCCCTGTTCACTTCAGCCAGCTGAGCCTTTTTTTTTTGCCTTCCACAGTGTTGCCCCCCCCAATAAACCTTTTAAGTGATAACACTAGATCCTTGCTTCTCCCTTTCAAACTAGATGTAACTGATCGTGTAAGTTAACACAGGATTTTCTTTCTCTTTCATCCCTCATTGCCTCCCTTGAAAGTGGTCTGGTAATCGCTATGATTCTGAGTCTGCTGTTCCTGATAGTCTTGAGGTTCCTGGCGGGAATTCTGGTCTGGGTCATGATCATTGCCCTGATTGCTGTCATTGCTTATGGTGAGTATCCCTTCCACTTTAATAAATTATTTTTCTTCTCTCCACTGCCACTGCCACCCCCACCACCACCCCACCCCACCACCTCCCTGTGGGCAGATGATTGAGATGAGCTTCCACCTCCCAGAAGCTGCACCCTCTGCATTTTAATGGGCAGGTGGCAAGCGGAGAGCAGAGGGGCTGCAGTTAATCACTGTAAAGCTTCCATGCTTTGACTTCCTGACTGCATTTCATTGTGTGGACTCCATTCCACCATCTGCAATTTGCTAAATAAGCGAAGGGTAACATTAAACTTGAAAGAAAAATGTATATAACCACACAAAGGCGAGTGGCAGGTCAGTTGATTGGAATATAAAGAAAAACAGCGAATGACTAAAATGCCAATTGGAAGGAAGGATTGAGAGGAAGCTAACTAGAAATCTAAAAACAAATAACAGAAGTTTCTACAGGCATTTAAAAGGAAGAGAGTGAGTAAAATGTGCTTTGGCCCTCTAGAGAATGAGCTAACTGATGTTACTGATCACCCCAGTAGTTTCTATGCAAAACATCTTTTCAAAGCTAGTTTGCTGAGTGGTAACTCAGTGATAATGTCGCTGGCCTAGTGGACCAGAGCCCAGGCTAATGTTCTGGGGAGATGGGTTTTAATTCTACCATGGCAGATGGTGAAATTTGAATTTAGTAAAGATTTTGCATTAAAAGTTAGTCTGTTAGTTGATGACTGTGTAGCCACTGTTGTAAATGCCTACCTAGTTCACGAATGCTTCTATTGTTTGTTTTTTTTGCGGGGGGGGTGGGGGTGAAAATTTGCCATCCTTACCTGGTCTGCCCTACATGTGACTCCAGAGCTACAGGAATGTGATTGACTGACTGACTCAGAACATCCCTCTGAAATGGCTGAGTAATCCAGTCCATTAAAGGGCAATTAAGAACGAATAGTGACTGCTGGCCCAGTCAGCAGTGCCCATATTCTGCGAACGAATTAAACAAAAACAATGTGATGGTGCTGATTGATCACGTACTAATTGAATGGTGGAACAGGTTCGAGGGGCTGAATGTTACAATTTTGAAGGCCCTCTCTCAACGTTTCACAGAAGGAGTTTCCAGCTAATGTTGCTGGAGATAATCAGTCAGCAACAGAGGCCCTTTCAACAATAAGTGGAGGGAAGTTTCTTTTTCCCCTTTATTCATTCATGGGATGAGGGCATCGCTGGCCAGGTAGTATTTATTGCCTATCCCTAATTGTTCAGAGTCAACCATATTGCTGTGTGTCTGGAGTCACATGTAGGCCAGGCCAGGTAAGGATGGCGGTTTCCTTCCCTAAAGGGTATTCGTGAACCAGATGGGTTCTTCCCTGACAGTGAACGCTGGTTTCGTGGTCTTTTAATTCCAGATATTTACTGAATTCAAATTCCACCATCTGCCGTGGCGGGATTCAAACCCAGGTCCCAGGAACTATTTCTGGGTCCCTAGGCTAACAGTCTACTGACAGTACCACTAGGCCATTGCCTCCCTTTAGGGCAGAGGCACATGAAGGAAGTTGAATGATTCCTTTTGTTACTGAAGTGTTCTTCAGATGTGGGTTACACAGACTAGGTAGCTTTTCTGTACAGAGGCTTCAATCACATGTCAGTTCAGAAATTTCTCTCTAGAATTAACAACATAGCGGTTCAGTTTTTGGTCAATCACTCTGCTCTAAAAGTCATTTTTTGAATTCCACATCAGTTGAATGTGGTCTCTTTTTTTTTTCCAGCAATATGAGCTGGTTTGAGAATCTTTCATTCATTAAATTGTGTAGAAACCCTCTGTGCTTGCCCTGGTCCAAATTTTACTGTAATCACTGTGCTTTCAATACTTTGTGTCATCTCATTTCAGGAATTTGGCACAGCTACTGGGAATATGACAACCTCAAAAAGCAAGGAGCTACCATCACGACTGTTGGATTCACCACGGATCTCCAGGTCTACGGACAAGTCAAGGAGACCTGGCTGGCTGTCTGTGAGTGTCTCTGGGATGTCACAGAAAAGCATGTATCACTCACAGGCACAATACCATCTCCCTGCAGCAAGGGTTAATCTCCCAGCTTCTGCCATGAGGAAGAGAGGTGCGGGGGGAAGGGGTGACTGTCTGTCTCAGTTTCACTCCTTCATTACATCAACCCGGGAAGAGTCTCCAGTGAAAATTTCACAGTTGCAGGACGGGTACAGTGCAGAAGGAGACTGTCACGTCTGCCTTGCCTCTTTGACTGAACAAATGGCCTGCTGCCCTTCCCCCCTGCCTTCTCCCCATAAGCAAGCATGTTTTCCCTTTTTCAGATAATAATCCCACTCCCTTTTTGAATGCCTTGATTAAAATGACATCCAGTGTGCACTCAGCCAGTCCTCCCCAGATCTTAACTACTTGCTCTGTGGAAAGGTTTTTCCTCAGTTGCCATTGCTTCTTTTGCGGATTACTTTGTGTGCCCCAGTGGTTCTTGTTCCTTACCACACAAGAAACCGTTTCTCCCTATCTCCTCTGCCCAGACCCTTCAGGATTTTTGGCCACCTCTATCAGAACTCCTCTTGACCCTCTCTTCTCCAAGGAATACGGTCCTGGCTTCTCCAATTGACCTTGTATAACTTCAATAACTCATTGGGGGACACTTCTGCAAGTCTTTTCTGTCAGCTCCCAGGCAAGGTGTTTTGGTCACCCCTTGATTAGAGTGATGGGGAGCAGAAGTTGGGATTGAAGGTGTGAAATCTTCCTGTTTTGCAGTGATCATCCTGGCTGTCCTGGAGGTTATCATCCTGCTGCTCCTGATCTTCCTGCGGAAGAGAATCCTTATCGCGATCGCACTCATCAAAGAAGCCAGCAAGTAGGTTGATTGTTTGTAACCTGTGCCCGCCCACTTGCAGCATGCACCTGGCATAGCCCACTCTCCAGAAATCCAACTGGTGAAGGGTCTCCCCTCATCCCGTAGTATCGGGTGAGGTGCCACCGTGTAGCTTCCAGTGCCACCCTGTCAACGCAGCTCAAATGGGCTTAGAAAGCGAACAGGGCACCCATCACTGTTCCTGAGACGCTCATCAGCCTTGACTAATTTTCAAACCATGGTTCTCCCTACCTCTTAATCATCCAAGGCGTGGGTGACATTCCCCTTGATCCATAGCAACACATGGCTCAAGAGTGCCTGGAGGCCATTTGGCCCCTTGAACCTTCTCTGCCATCTTATTAAGCTGATTGTGACCTTGACTACTTCTTATTCACCCAATCTTGGGGATCTGGCCATGTGTGCTATAAACCATAATCAGAGACTTTTCTCTACCCGCGCCCCCCACCCCCAACCCCAGGGGTAAGAGGAAAGAAATGCTTCCTCTCCATTTAAAATGGGGGACCCTTTTTCTTTTAAACGGTAATCCCAACTTCTAGATTCTCCCACAGGGAAAAACATTTTCTTCACGTCTCCCCTGTCAAGACCCCTCCCTGCAAGTCCAACCTGCCACCACCCCACCACCACACAATTGCTGCCACTGGGGATTTTTTTGAAAGGACCCACTCCTCAGTCTAGGAATAGGAAGAGGTCCCTCAAGTTGAACCAAATTGAAGTGATTTTCGATTAACAAGTGAGTCAAGGGTCACTGATGGAGTAGGTAGAAAACCCGAGTCAAGGCCATAGTCAGATCAGCCGTGGTGGATGAGACATAATTTCAATTTGAGTCACTCCACGTGATGTCAAGAAACAATTGGAGGCATTGAATACTGCAAAGGCAATGGGCTAAGACAACATACCGGCAATCGTACTGAAGACTTGTACTCCAGAACCTGCCGCTCCCCTAGCCAAACTCTTTCCAGGACAGTTACAACACTGGCATCTACCTGACAATGTGGAAAATTGCCTATGTGTGTACATGACATACAAGGCAGGATGAATCCAACCCAGATGATTTACCACCCCATCGGTCTGCTCTCGATCATCAGCAAAGTGATGGGAGGTGTCACCAACAGTGCTATCAAGCAGCACCTGCTCAGTGACCACCCCCACCCCACCCAGTTTGGGATCCACCAGGGCCACTCAGCTCCACACCCCATTACAACGTGAGGCCTCCTACTGTTTCCTCTGTTACGTGCGACCAATTGGCCCATCGAGCCTGCTGTGCCATTCTGTAAGATCATGGTGCTCTGATTACTCAACATTGCTGCCTACCCCTCCCCGATAACGTCTCACCCCATGCTTATCAAAAACCTAACCCCTTCTTCCTTTAAAATATGTGAGGACCTTGCTTCCATGGCCTTTTTGAGAAAGAGATTGGGCACATTATCTCCTCCCCTCTGCCTTAAATAGGACCTGCGCACGGACAGTGAAGACCAATTTATGTCCTTGGGTTCTTTACAAATGCGTGTCAGTACTGATAATCGATATGTGGATTTTTAAAATTTTCTTTCTCTCCCTTATCCAATAGGGCGATCGGTCACATGATGTCATCACTTTTCTATCCCTTAATCACCTTTGTACTATTGGTGATTTGTGTGGCTTACTGGGGAATGACCGCTCTGTATCCTTTCAGTGCTTAGCCTGTCCCACCACCACAGATTTGAATGAATTTGAAGGGGATTATGCTGGCCTGAATTTATAATAGAAATGCCTCCATTATCTTGTGTCATGTGTTTGTAAGGGGGAGTGACTTGGGTGCATTGTATTCCCCTCATCCAACAACTTGCATTTCTAAAGTGCCTCTAATGTGGACATCTGTGGGCACTGTGCAGGAAGGGAATTGTAGAACAAACAGCAATGCCGCTGGGCACATAAGGAAATTTTAGGACAGCTGTCCAAAAGCTCAGTCAAAAAAAAAAAATTTTTGAGGAGTATCATGAAGGAGGGTGGAGATACAAAGGGAGATGTAGGGGGGGAATTCTGTAACTTGGGGCTCAGGCCAGTGAGACCACAGCCACCAGTGATGGACCAGTTCCAATCGGCCACTTTCAAGGCAGGACACAAATGGTTGGGGGGTGGGGGGTGGGCGCGTGGTGGTGGTGGAGTCTGGCAATGTGGCCGAGCTGGAAGTAGCCAGCTTTGGACCTGGCAGGAATAGGAAGGAGGTCAGGAGCTCATCTCCAGGGTCAAATGTAACACCAAGACTGAGGACAGAGACAGGCCCTGTCCCCGCTGAAAGGGATAGAACTGATTGCATAGGCAATGGAGTTTGGAACCAAGACCAATGGTGTCAATTTCCCCTGGGGGTGGGGGGTTGGAATCTCAATTGATCCAGTGTGAGGTGGACAGTGAGATAAATTAACCACAGTGGTGGATTCGAGAGGCGGCTGGTGCTAAGGTAGAGCTGGATGTTGCTAAAGTACACAGTGAAATCAAATGGTCAGCTCTCAGTGGGAAACCGCTGCAGGGTCCTGGAGAAGTTAGGATCTGAATGCTGCCTTCAAGGGATGTCTACATCTCTTTAAATTGTTTTTGTTGCCAAAAGCTCCTTTTCTAGCCTCTGCCCGTTTCTTTAACATTTGACGCCGTGCAGATATCTCGCCACTTCGGGGCAGCCACTGTATCGGGTGGTGAATTTGGGCCCATCGACTCCCAGCTGCAATGCCATCCTCGGCAATGAAACCTGTGACCCCTTAGTAAGTGGATCCGTCAGAAATATTGGGCACAACTTGGTGCCCCCTGCCCGTGTGTGTGTGTTGGGAGATGGGGTTGAGGAAGAAGGTTTCGGTGCTGACCCCAGTGTCTTCCGGCCTAAGCCGATTAATCCCCAGATGAGAAGGCCCGTGAATGCATGGCCGCTAACAGGCATCCGTTAACGTTGGTCATTGTCACATGTCTGAATCCAAGGGGGCTCGGATTTCAGAGGACTGTGGGACTGAAGGAGGTTGGGGGTCAACTGGGTGCAAGGCCAGCTGCCTGGAGCTGTTGATAAGCAGACCCAGGAGCTATCGTTAGTTTCTAGTTTCATATTTGCAAACTATTTCAACTACAGTTTGCAGTTCACAGGTTCAGCAGCAGTAGAAAGGAGGCGAATCATTGCATTTTTTTAAAAATTCCATAATTTCTTTAGAAAATAATTTTAAATTCTCAAGAGCCCTCTCCGTTCCACATTCCAGGTGAAATCAGGCACGTGCCAAGCCAGAAAGTGGCCTCGCAGTCACGGCTTAGAATCATAGAGTCATACAGCATGGAAACAGACCCTTTTTTGGTACAACTCATCCACGCCGTCCAAGTTTCCCAAATTAAATTAAACTCGTCCCACTTGCCTGTGATGGGCCCACATCCCTCTCAACCTTTCCTACCATGTACCTATCCAAATGTCTTTTAAATGTTGTAACTGTACCTGCATCTACCACTTCCTTTTGTTACTGTAGTTCATTCCACACAAGAACCAACATCTGTGTTTTTTTTTAAAAAAAAAAAGTTGCCCCTCAGGTCCCTGTTAAATTCTTCTCCTCTCACCTTAAAAATATGCCCTCTAGTTTTGAACTCCCCCAGCCTAGGGAAAAGACCTTTGCTATTCACCTTATCTATGCTTTCATGATTTTACAAACCTCCATAGAATAGCATATCCTTTTATTGTCCTGTGTACTCACATACAGAAGTACAGGAATACAGTGATAAGTTTACAAGGCCAGTTTCTTCAATTGTGCGATTGTCATCTCACACTTTAAATTCCTTTCACTTTGCTTCTTTCAAGTGTCTGAAAGCATTGAATATTATTGAAATGTAAACTAATCCATTCTCTCTGGGCACTTACTGTAAATAACAAAGTTCATTACTGAACAAAAAATAACTGCAAATGCTGGAAATCAGAAACAAAAACCAGATATTGCTGGAGAAACTCAGCAGGTCTGGCAGCATCTCTGGAGAGAAAGCAGAGTTAATGTTTGGGGCCCAGTGACCCTTCTTCAGAACTGTTTTTTGAAACTGAATTTCTGTTTTTATTTCTAAGTTCATTGCTGCTTTAACTGACATCCCAACAGGGAAATGATAGCTTGCACTTGCACTATGTGGGAATGTCAACTTTTGTCCCCTTCTCCAATACGATTGTTGACACCTTTTTTGAGGATGGAAAAAGTAGATTAGATTGACAGATTCTGAGCCCCGACCTGAATCTTTAAAAATAGACATCTCCCCAGGACACTCTCTGCTCCTGTGATGTATAATTTAACATTTGTACTGTTTAGCCTGTATTGGCTCTCCTCAGCCTTTCATCCAAAGTGCATCACTTCACATTTGCCAGTAAATGTATTACCCACTGCAAGAATATAAAGTCAAATTACAGAAAATCCAAACTTAAAATAAAAAAAGGGCTGGAAAACACTTGTTTCTTTTGAGATAACATCTCCACCTGAAACTTTAACTCTGTTTCCTTCTCCACAGATATGCCCTAACTTGCTGAGTATTTCCAGCATTTTGTTTGTTTTTTAATTGAAGTTAGCTGATATGAGTCTGTCCATTTCACCAGGCTGCTGAGAACTACCTGAAACCTCTGCAGTCTTTTTCACTTTGTTTTTCTGTCTGCCATGAGAGTTGACGTTCCAACCCTGTGGACCCAAATCTGTGCGATTTTGTAGATTATCAGAAGGAATGGTGAAACTGACAGACGGTAGGGTGTGTGGAAATGATCCTCATGAATTTCAACTGTTTCTTCCTTCTGTCTGCAGTCCTTCAATGCTTCCAACTACAACTGTGAGGGTGTAAAGTGTGCCTTCTACAAGTACAACGATGAGGGAATCTTGCAGAGGAACCTCTTCAACCTCCAGATTTACAACATCATCGGCTTCTTATGGTGCATGAATTTTGTCATTGCACTGGGTCAGTGCACCCTAGCAGGTGCCTTTGCCTCCTATTACTGGGCCTTCAAAAAACCAGCAGATATTCCCTATTTTGCTGTGTCTGGTTCCTTCATTCGCGCCCTCAGGTGAGCACACCACCTCTCCACTCGCTGTAACAGAACTCCTTCAGAATTTTGAAGGAGTCTGGATAATGACTGTCTGTCTTTTATTCTGTCCCATTTTAACACAGGTGACAATAATAAATCAAATAGAATGTGCCGATAGTACGAACTTGTCCACTTTAGCAGGTATAGTAGCGAGGGGGGTGGAAAAGCAAATGGAGAATGACTGCAGAACACTGGAGGATCTGGGTGTCCTGGTGCATGAATCATTTTGAATGTTTGTATGCAAGTCAAGCAAGTAGTGTGGTGGTATTATGGCTTTGAGGGGTGAACTTTTCTCCTGGCTTTTTTTTTTTCAGGAAGAGTGGTTGAGACAGAGGTGTCAAGTGATCTGTTCCAAACCAATGAAGTAAATAGCTTGTGAGGCTTTGGTTTTTATTTCAAAGTTGGAACAATAGAAGCAGCATGAATGGGTGGAGTCAAGTCCCATAGAACCAGGATTCCAGTTTAACTTTCAGTAGCTGTTGGGGTCTGAAAGCTGCTGTATGTCTCTCCCCGCTACAGCCAAACACTTAAGTTTTCTCTCTCTTTCTCCTCTTCCTCTTTCTTTTTTTTCCTCCTCTCTCTTTATTTTTTTTTGTTTCTTTTTCTTCTTTCTCTCTCTCTCTCTCCTTTCTCTTTTTTTTTCTCTCCTTCTCCTTTCTTTCTCTTTTTTTGTTCTCTCCCCCCTCTTCCCCCTTCTTTCTCTCCTTCTTCTTCTTTCTTTCTCTCTTTTTCTTTCTCTCTTTTTTCTTTCTCTCCTTCCTTCCTTCTCTCTCTTTTTTTCCTTTTTCTTTCTCTCTTTTTCCTTTCTCGTTCCCCTTCCCCCCTCTTTTTTTTTTTTTTTCCCTCCTAGACTGGAGAAACATTGCATGTGAGACACTATATTCCACTGAATTTGCCTTTGCCAGGGGTGTGGTTATGGGATGTTACTATCTTGGAACAGCTCATCTGTGGTGTTAACATATTATCTTTATGTATTTCAACAGAGTTTTTTAAATTCTTATTTTGTGTTTTATCTGGAGTGTAAGAATGAAATGTGTTTTGCTTCAAGCCTGGTAGTTTGACCAGTCAAATTGCATCAAGAACACAACACCTTACATTGATCTTTTAAAATAAGAAAAAGTTGGCATCTCTGCTTTCTTCTTAATATATTTTGAGGGGGCTTGGTGTGGCCCATAACAGCAGTTAGCTCAAAAAATGGTGGCCTTTATTACAAGGGGTTTAGAGTATAAAAGTGAGGAAGATTTTGTTACAATTGTACAGTCATGGGTGAGACTGCTCCTACCCTCCAGTGTCCAGTTTTGGTCCCTTGGAAGCAGGTAGGCAATGGTCTAGACTGTTAATCCAGAGACCCAGGTAATATTCTGGCAACCTGTGTTCAAATCCCACCACAGCAGAGAGGGGAATTTCAATTCATTAACTAATCTGGGACTAAGAGTCCAATAACTACCAGGAAGCTCTTTGGTGATTGCTGGAAAAACCCATCTGGCTCATTTAATGTCCTTACCTAATCTGGCTGACATGTAACTCCAACATGGCTGACTTTTAACTGCCCTCTGGACAATTAGGTATGGACAATAAATGCTGACCTAGTCAGTGAATCCTGAATCCCACATTCCACAAATGAATAAGCAAAATGCAAAGAATGTTTGCTTAGCCCATTCCTGGGATAAAAAGATTACACTAAACTCTGGAGTTTAGAAGAATAAGAAGGGATCTTATTTAAAAAAAACCTCCAATTCTGACAGGGTAAACGTTGAGAGGATCTATCTAGATTTAAGGGGTACAATTTAAAGACAGGGCGTCTCCCATTTAAGACTGAGCTGAGGAGGAATTTCTCTCAAATTGTCAGTCCTTGCAATTCTCTATTGCTGAGTAGAATGGAGGCTGGTGTCATTGAATATGTTCAGACTGATTTAGATTTTTGACCTCCCTGGTAGGTGAAGGGTTAGGAGGCCAAAGAACACAAGTGAAGTCAAGGTCATAATGAGATCCGCCATGGTCTGACTGAATAGTGGCACAGGCTCGAAGTGCTAAATGCTGCTATTGGCTCACCTCATGGGTCTTCCTGCCTGACCTCCACAACCCGGTGGGGAGATGATGACATATAGTGGGTTAGTAAACCAGAACACCAGGCTAATTTTCTGGGGAAGATGGGTTTGAATCTCACCATGGAGCAGATGGTGAAATTTGAATTCATTAAAAGAGCTAGTCTAATGGTGACTACATAACCACTATTGATTGTGAAAAGAAAACGTCTGGTTCACTAAACATCCTTTGGAGAAGGATGTTTTCTAGTCTGGCCTGCAGACCAATTCTGGCCTAGGCATTAACACCCACACCCATGAACAGGTTGGGGGAAAAAAAACACTGCAGAAGCCACAGAACATCAATCGCAGATGCTCTTTTCTCCCATTGGCTTCACCTGATTTCCCAACCAGAAACGCTGACACAAAAAAGCTCAAAGCATCCTGGGACCTCTTGGTCCATATGGTTTCCCAGGATGTGTGGGTTCTGTGTGTCTCACTGAACTGTCAAGTGAGCGAGATGTGGGAGGGTTGGTGTTGCATGGTTGGTTAGTACTAACCTGGAGATGATCCCTACACACATGATGTGGGTCAACGTGTTTTGATGAGATTGGCTGACAGCTTATTTGTTCCTAGGTATCACACTGGCTCTCTGGCCTTTGGAGCACTGATCCTAACCATCGTTCAGTTCATAAGAATCATCCTGGAATACTTGGATCACAAGCTGAAAAGTAAGAGCCTTGAACCTTAACACTTTGTTTATTTTTCTGTCTGATGCACTTCGAGTGGGAGAGAGAATGCATCTCTGAATACGGGCACAAGGGAGAAAGCTGCCTCGTTAGAGATTGACATTCACCATTATCTCCTCACTGAGTCTCTATCAGGGCAACAAAGTTTGCTGTGCCAGGGATCTCCAGACAACCAGCTGGAACTACTGCCTCAGCAGGACATTGTAAATCCCTGTGGGGCTCTTGTGGCCCAATGATAGTGTTCCTACCTTTGAACTGGGCAGGGGGTTTAAGTTCAAGACCTATTTACTCCAGATATGTGTTGTAAATATCTTAGATATTGTTAATCAACCTATTTGTAATGTCTTGTGGATCAGTCTCTGTGGTGCAATTGGTTTGTGTTGAATGGTTAACCAAAAGGTCGCTGGTTTAACACCATCTAGGGATGAAGCCTATGTTTTGGGGGCTCCTGTGGTGTAGTGCCCCCTCTGGGGCAGGAGGCCTCCGTTCAAGACCAACCTGCTCCAGAGAGGTGTAACAACATCTTTTGACCATGTTGATTTAGAAATACCTGTAGCATCTTTGTCGAATTAATGAGAATCAGTGGTTTAGAGTCGCTTGACAATCAGGCTAGGTGTGGGTCTTGTGGTGCAGTGCTAGCATTCCTACCTCTGACCTAGAAGTTCCTGGTTCAAGTCCCACTTGTGCTGGAGGTGTGTCATAACAGGCCCAATTAAATGGGTTGATGTATATAAAAAAAAAAATTAAAAATCAGGTTGGTGGATGCTTTATTTTGGAGTGGCCTTGGATCAAACTACAGTTAAGTTTAATGGCATTATAGGACAGTATTGAGTGAAAACCAAAGGCTGGAGGGATTTGATAGAGGCCTTTTGTTAAAATAAGGTTTCTTCATCTCTACCCATGGATTGTTTGCCAATTGTATTTTCTGAAACACAACCTCCTCCTGGTGGAAACCGGTTGTTACTTGTTTTTAAAATCCTGAAAAAGTTTGATCTCCAATAGTTTGTGGCTTTCCTAATATCTCAATGTTGCTCCTCTTTTTCCTGCAGATTATCATAATCCCTTTACCAAATTCCTGCTGTGTTGTCTTAAGTGTTGCTTCTGGTGCCTAGAGAAATTTATCAAGTTCCTAAATCGTAATGCCTATATCATGGTGAGTGAGGGGGATGGCTGCAATAGTAAATAACCTCTCTCATTACGGAGTGGTTCCTAGGTGATTCATCACCTTTTGTCTCTGTCTCATTATAGATTGCTGTCTACGGTAAGAATTTCTGTGTGTCAGCCAAGAATGCATTCAAGCTGTTGATGAGGAATGTGGTCAGGTAAGTGAACGCTGCTGAAATCTATGAAATCGAACTCTGTGTCTTAATGTTACATCTGAGGGTGAGAGTGGAGATGGGGGAGTGTTGCAATTGTGAGAGGGAGGATGGGTGGTTGGAAGTCAATTCATCCAATCTTATGTCCAGGTCTCATGTTTGCTCTCTCTCTCATGCACTTTCTCTTGCACGCTGTCTTTCCGTCTCTCTTTGTTTCCCTGTCGTGTATTCTCTCGCTTTTTGCGCCTGGTGTTTGAGCTGTCCCTCTAATCCGCACTTTAGTTTTCTCTTGCTTACTCTGCCTCGTGTACAGTCTTGTACTCGCACAGTTTCCAATAATTTGATTCACTTGATGAACCTTCATTGGAAAATGACTTGTGTCTTGCCCAGCATTGATCAGATTGAGAGAGAGAGAGAAGGGGAAAGCTGCTGCTTGGGGCCTGTCCTTTGACAGAAGTGAGTAAGATTTCTGGGAGCGGAAAAGTTGACTAAACAAGCGTCAAAGTGTATCTTGGCTGCTGGTGAGAAGGTCTTTCTTCATGCCAGGACACTCGGCTCCTCCACAGGACTGTCCTTTCTGTAATGTTCCTCCACAAAGCAGGTCTACAAAGAGAAGCAGTGGTTTTTGTTGAGGTTGGTCATCTGTAGCCCCATGATGCAGACCCTTGAGGCTGTTACGAAGGATGCTTGCTGAGATAACTACCAACTGCAGCTGCAGGTCCATCAACTCCATGAAAGGCACTCTTGCTCCACTTCCAATGCAAAATGCTGTTGATAACCAAGTGTTGTAGCCTGGCACATTTCCAAGGTCCAGGACTATGTGCTGAAGGAAGCACCAGGCTTGGGCAGCTGCTTCAGAGCACAATGGGCAAAGGTCACTTCCATCGTAGTATTCAAGTGGTTGAAAACTGAGAGAAAAGCCCTTGGGCTGAAAACACCAGAGAATGTTTTACACAAACTAGAAACGTATAGTTTTATATATTTATACAAACTGTAAGTGCAGTGAGGCAGTTCATGTACTCAATTGAATGAAACTGGTCTATATTTCATTTTATGCAATGTTCAGTTTGAACTACGAGGTAATGCACTTTTAAACGTTATAAATACAGTTATATTTTTGGGGGGGGTGTGGTAAGTAGTGGTGTGGTGAAGAAGCAATGATCACAGGAGAAGATGAGAGAATTCCTTTCTTCAACACAGTTGCTGTGGATTAACATATGCTGCCTGGAAGAATGAATGACAGACACTCCATAATGACTCTTAAAGGGAATCGGAGATTAAATTACTCACCCTCCTACATGGACCATCCCCACCCTCTCCTATTCTCCTGAGCTGTCAGATCCTGTGGGGAGGTGGGCACTGCGCTGCTTGGGGAGGGGAGGATGGGGTGGAGGTTGGGGGTTGTAGGAGAAGAAACAGTGCCTGCATCTTGAAGGGTGTGGCTGCCTTGTCGTGGTTTGAGAGGGGCAGGTTTGGAGTATCAATGTTCTGATCTACAGTGTGAATGTTTGCCAGTGACACCACGAATCTGTTTTACTTTTGCTTTGCCCCATTAGGGTGGTGGTGCTGGACAAAATCACAGACCTGCTGCTGCTTTTCGGGAAGCTCCTTGTTGTCGGTGGTGTGGGTAAGTAGACGGACTGACGGACTGAGAACCTGCTGTGTGCGTTATATTGGAGACCGCTCTAAATTGGCAACCACCGAAGGTGCAACACCTGCCCGTTTACCACCTCCCTCCCCAGTATCCAAGGGCCTAAACATACCTTCCAGGTGAAGCAGCACTTTACCTGCACTTCCTGCAATCTAGTCTACTGCATTCACTACTCACGAGATGGCCTTCTCCACGTTGAGGAAACAAAGCGAACATCTACTTTCTGCCTGCAGAAAAGACCCTGAGCTTCCAGTCGCCTGTCACATTAGCACACTACTTTGTTCCCTGGCAACATCTCTGTCTCAGGCTTGCTGTAGTGTTCCAGCAAAGCTTAGCGCAAGCTGGAAGAACAGCACCTCATTTTCTGCTTGTAGACTCTGCAGCCCTCCAGTCTCGATGTAGAGTTCAATAATTTTAGGGCCTAATCGCTATGTCCCAACCCCCTACCCGACACACCAGGCCTCGTTATCACATCGTCTGCCATTACACACTACCTGTTCTGAGGAAGGGTCACCGGACCCGAAACATTGAGTCTGATTTTTCATCACCGATGCTGCCAGATCTGCTGAGCTTTTCCAGCAACTTGTTTTGTTGTTAAGTTGGCTTTGTTAATGAGGGTAATGGTGATGAGGGGAAGGAGGATGTTTATAGGATGTTGGAAGATACGGATATGGAGCAGAGGAATTAGTCCTACAGGTTGGAGAGTTTAGGACCAACAGATGCAAAAAATCAGAGGTAGGCTCTTCAGGAGAGATGTTTGGAAGCAATGTTTTTAAGAGTGGCTCAGTGGTTAGCATTGCTGCCTCTCTGTCAGGGACCTGGGTTCAATTCCACCATTGGGCAACTGTCTGTGTGGAGTTTGCACATTCTCCCTGTGCCTGCGTGGGCTTCCTCTGGGTGCTCTGGTTTCCTCCCACAGTCCAAAGATGTGTAAGTTAGGTAGATTGTCTGTAGCGTACAGGGATGTGCAGGCTAGGTGGGTTAGCGATGGGAAATAAGGTAACTGGGATAGGTAGGGGGCTGCGCCAGAGTGGGATGCTTTTCAGAGGGTCGGTGTGGACTTGATGGGCCAAATGGCCTGCTTGCACACTGGGGATTTAATGATTCTTCACACAGTTGGGGTGGTGTGTGGAACTCTTTGACTGAGCCTGTACTGTTACAGGGTGCTAATCATGTCAAACCAGAGGTTGCTCAACTTTTGCAAGGCAAGGGTTGTTAAGGAATTTGGAGCTGGGGAGAGTATAATGATGTGAATAGGGACAAGGAGGAGACTGGCTGCCACAATGTGGTCGTGGGGACTGGGCTGTGGCAAACACTTGCTGTCACTGTGGGCCATCTGCCTGCAAGGTGGATGTTCTCCACCTAGTGGCATTTCACCCTCGCTTCTTTATTTGTCCACCAGTTGATGTAGGTCAGCAAGAGCAGGCAGGGGGATCGGGACTGGCTGTGAGATAGACAGGAGGCCAGCAGAGTTTTGGATGACCTGAAGTTTAGAGGGGCTGAACAGCCATCCCTTGTTCCCATATCCCTTCAGGATATGTTGGAGGTCTGGGGATGCATGACATTTTGTGGGCAAATGAAAGCTGAGGAATTCTCAGCAGAGGATGCAGTAATCATTGTGGGAAGTCGATGGCAAGGAGGAATGTTGAAGGACTACATGAAACACTATTGGTTTGGGAGTTGTCATCTGGAGAATTCTCAATTTCACCACAAACTAATCCTCCCCTTGTTCATAGGATCATCTCTGTAATCTTTACACAGCCTTTGGTTCTGCAGCATTTGTCCTTTTCTTTGAAAGAACAAATACACTTATCTCCTCGTGTTTTTCCTTCCCTAGGTGTTTTGGCATTTTTCTTCTTCACTGGAAGGATAAAAATTCCTGACCCGACATTCCAGACTCCTACCCTGAATTATTATTGGCTGCCAATACTGGTACGTGTAAATCATGAAACTGTCGGAGTGTAACAGTGCAGGGAAAGGGGGCCTAGTGCTAACATCAAATGGGCTAGTAACCATGTGCCAAAGCTAATTCTTTTGGGGCCAGAGTTCAAATGCCTACCAAGGCAGCTGGTAGGATTTAGGTTCAGTGACTGTGACCCTTTAATTTCTTGTTGTAAAAAATAATCTGGTTCACTAATACCCTTTTGAGAAAGAACTCAATCATACAGTTCAGAAGAGGCCTAACGACATGCAAAAACCTGAGTGGAGGGAGAAGGCGAGACCTTTCAGTTGGTTGCCAGTTGACAGTGGGAGGGTGGGAGGAGGAAGGAGTCTGATATGATTTAACATAACTTCCTCTATCTCCATGTCCTACACAGACTGTGGTAGTCGGGTCCTATATGATAGCCCACGGGTTCTTCAGTGTTTACAACATGTGCGTCGACACACTGTTCCTCTGCTTCTGTAAGTAACATTTGCTCCGGTCAGAATTTTTTTGTGCAGAATTGAGATTAAAATAAAATTAAACTAAAGTTTTAAAAAAAAAACCTGGCATGTTTAAATGCTGGGTGCTATCACGCGATTGTTCCTGTGGAGCTTGCTGCATGCTGATTGGCTGTTGCAATTCCCTCGCAGCGACTGTACAGCCCACCTCAGAAAACACTTCACTGAGGGGCGTTTGCTCCGCAGACCCTGCGGTGCCCAGGGCGCTATTTGAATGCAAGTCAGTCTTTCCCCTCCTCTTTATTTTTTTCTCTCTGTCCTCACCAACAGTGGAGGATCTCGAGAGGAACGACGGCTCGGCAGAAAAGCCTTATTACATGCCCTCATCCCTGATGAAAATTCTCAATAAGAAAAACAAACCTGTCAAGTCCAAGGAGAAGAAATAAGCTCCCAGCTGCTTGCAATTTCAGACGTTAAGACTGTTGAACGCCATTCGTTGTCTTTCTGCCAGGGGAAGAGAGCTGACTTGGGGATGGGTTTGGGGGTTGGTGTGGTGGGGAGGGTTAGCCAAAAGACAGCATCAAAACTACCAGTAGAATCCCTTTTCTGGAACATCCCTTCCCAACTGGGTGTAGATCAACAGCCCGCTCTTGGAGTACATCAGAAATATGAGGGCTGCTTCCCACTTCTGCTCTGGTCTTCCCATTATTGCGACTGCCTTTTCCCTTTTTCCCTTGCCAATTCTGATAAGAGGGATTCTACTGACTCACACTGTGGCACCTTATTAACCATGTCCAGGATTAGCTGAGTGATGCCTTCCAGGGCCCACCAGCTGCTCAAAGTAGTACTTTGATTTTATTTAACAATAGTTGGCCCAGCAATATTGTTGACTCAGTCTTCCGTGGCCTTAATCCAAGGGGAATTAGATTTGTTGCTGTTACTATTTACCACTTGTGCCTTTTGAAAAAGTGACTTTTCTTCCCTGAAGAAAATGATATCAAATTAAGTACACTTTCACTCTCCTTTCTCTCTCTTGCTCTCGTTCTTTTTCTCTCTTTTTTTTTTCTCTCTCTCTTTTGCTGTCATTTCCTCTCACACTCAACCTCTCTCTCACTCATTTGAATGGATACTAGACCTACTTCTGCTCTCTTTTTTTTTCAGTAGAAAAATATTCTAATTGTTTTTTGTGGCCTAAACAAACAATTTACCCACATGTACCATCCTCCATTACGGAAAGATTTTCTCTTGTTATAAAACCAAACCGAGCCCTCGGAATATGGATGGGCTCACAGCAGCCAGAACCAGGCAGGAAGTCCTTGATGTGTGGCCCTGAGACAGCACCAATGTGAAACTTCACTTCCTCCTATATGCCATCTTTTTCTTAATGTGCATTTTCACTTCCTCCCTCCCGCTTTGCCTGTCTCCTCCCTTCCATACCTCCCTCTCCAATTTCCTCCCTTTCCCCCTTACCTTTTTTGAGCACCTACTTCCTCTCTCTTTCTTCTTTTCCTCCCTCTGTTCTCCTCCTCTTGCTTCTTTGTCTTGCCTTCTCCTTCCCCCTCTCCTTCTATGTCTTTGGCCTTCCCCTCTTGTTCTCAGTATCCCCAGATATGAAGTGTAGGGGTCGCTTTATGCCCTAGCCTTTTAAATGATTGTGTACAATTGAGCCAAGTTGGGGCTAGCAGAGAAACACGAAATGAAGACAGGCCTATGACAAGAATGGTGATCAGACCCCTGTATAATGACGACTATGTCACCAGAACTGTTTGTACAACATCTTCGTTGAAACCACCATATTACATGTGGTTCCAGTGGGATCAACATAGGGACAAGAGTGAGGATGGATCTGGGGTGGGGAGGAGAGGGGTCAGTGTGCGGTGCTGGTCCCACGTACCCTTCCAGGGGCCACTGTAGCTGGATCTGATCTGCAGCTCGGTGAATGCCAAGCCTTTTCCAGTCTCTGCCTTTATTAACTCTCTGCATGCTGGTGAGTTTTAGAGGGAAGGTGATGGTGTGAAGTAGCATCTCAGTACTGCGGCTATTGGCTTTGTTTCTTTGTTCAGATCAGTCATACTGTGGGGGGGTAGAAGAGGTTGTCTGACAGCGAGTCCATTATTGTGGAACTGCCTGGTTCTATTCTGGTGGAAGAAGTGAGGCATTCTGTGCAGCAAACGGAACAACAATAGCTGGAGTTTGGTGAACAGCAACAAAAAGGGAATGATTTTTGAAGTCTGCACTCTGATCTTGGTGACTGTGTACTTGGGTGGGGGTGGCAAGATCAGTCAGCTGTTAATTGAGCATCTGCAGTACTCTGATGTTTGACTCCCCCTTCACCCCACTCAACCACACAATCTTGAACTCTAATAACATTCACTGGATATCAAATCCTTTTGCTTCTACAGCCTTTTCGGGGGAGGCTGGGACAGTTGTGTTCTTTCAGTGTAACCTTCCACCTTTCAAAGGATGGAACAAAATTTCTGAATGTATTCTAAAAGCCAAACAAAATCCAGCCGAAAGGTTAAAGTTGGTCTTGGGCTCCATCAACAATTTGACTCGCTGACAGCTTCAGATGTCTCCCATCTGAATTTTTTTTCGTGCGACAAGAGAAAACAGTATCCTTCTGACTATTTTTTTATTCTTTTGTCTGTCTCTCTCTTGAGATGATTTGTTCACAGGATATGCTCATCATCTGCCAGTGAGGGAATAAGTGAGGAGGGGGCTCCCTCATTCCCTGTTATTGAGACCATTTGGTTAAGAGCCTGTACTGCTGACTAATGTTCACAGCCCTGGTGTCACCAGCTTTACTGCCCAGCACTAGTGGTTTAGTTTCACTGAGTTTTCATACATCACTGAAGGAACCATCATTTCCCTCTTTCCCCATATACCCTTCTCTCCCTCCCCATCTCCAAAACGGTACCCTGAAGCCCATCCTTCGGGGTGAAAACTGGTGTTTTTTTTTAACGCAACTTATCCAACTAAGAACATTTTGTTCAAACTCTTGTTCATCCCTCAAATCTCCTTCCATGTGATGGTAATGGTTGTGGAACTGGTTTGTAGTATTAATATCAATCTTGGCATTTTCCTGGGCTGTGATTTTACTGCTGGGTTTAAACATGCTTTACACACAATTCTGGTGAATTCCTGATTGGCATAAAATCCAATTTTTAAAAAAAATTAAATGTTTAATTTAAAACAGGACCTTCAATGATAACCTTGTTGGTTAGCTCAGCTGCTGGACATCTAGTTTGCAATGCAGGGTGACACCAACAGCACAGGTTCAATTCCTGCACCAGATAAGGTTGCACTGAAGGCCCCACCTCTTCAACTTGGCCCTCACTTGAGATGTGGTGACCCTTGGGTTACACCACTATAGTCACCCCTCTTTAATGAGGGACCAGCCTCTCTGCCACTACAGTGACTTTACCTTTTACTAGCTCTGAGCTGAGTGACTTCCAATTGAGTAAAAATTTCAGGGTGGGATTGGAAAATGGGGATGTGAATGCAGGAAGGGTGGGTGTTGGTTAAGATTTTCCTGAGGAGAACACTTATAACACCCCATACTCGTTGCAAAAACGAAAAGAAATTGGGAAGATTCTCTATGTTCGGAGACCTCATGATCAATCTGATTTCTGTACTCTGTGTCTCTCTCTCTCTCTCTCTCTGTTTCTGGTGTCCAACTGTGATTGCACTTTGAGATTATTTAGGTAGCCAGTGATTGAACAAGGGGGAACAGCTTCTTCCCTCCTAGCCTCATTTAGTGTTGGGGGCGTGGGGGTGGGGTGTGGAGAAATGAATTGGCACTCTGGCACTTCAACCTGTTCACGGAGGAGGCTGATGATAGCAGCGGGGCCTGACGTCTGCATGAAGCCACCCCTTGGAGCATACTGCTGGATGTATCCACACTGTGAACGCAACAACCTGTGTCTGTGTCTGAATTGTCTTTAACATGTGCCTTGGAGATGATGGGGTTGGGGGGTTGGGGTGGGGTGTGGTGGAATTGGGTTTCTCTTGTTATCTCTGAGCCAAATTGAGGTGACCCAGTCTGGACCTCAGTTAGTGCCTCTAACAGTTTTGGATTAAATTTACAATCAGGTTGATTATGATTTTTATTTTCCATTGTGTGTTTTAAGATGTGCCTTGCACATCTCCCTGCTTGATGAGCTGAGGACAGTTTGCTTCTGGACAAAATAATTTGGATGACACCAAGCCAAACATGAGCCTGGTGGAAAATCCTTCCAGATTTTAATTTATGATCATGTGTGAACTGAGTTGACTGAGTGTAAGAGTGGGATTGGTGCAGTATATTGTACTGCACCCCAATGCTCAGCCTGACCGATCTTTTACTATTGAAATCACTGCTAGTGATTTTTATACCATGCTAATTGCTTTGAAGGATGAACGACATGAATTTTATATCAAAGATTAACATTATTAATTGGCATGCATTGGCCATGAGTCATGAGTGCTGATGCTGGGTTCCAAGCTAAACTGTTGGAATAGTCATGTTTCTTTTTAAATGTCTTAATAACTCAGTTCTTTTTGATTCCCCCTCCACCCCATTATGATAAGTGATCTGCAGCCACTCATTTTACAGTAACCTCATAGATTCTGTAACCAGATAATTTAATCTAAATGGCACTTTTTCTGAATGAGATCAAATGTTTGTAAACAGTATTGGAATTAATATCCAGGCTGTAAACCCTGATTCTCCAGCACTTAAAATATCATTGCACTAGACTATGGACTGGTTCAGTCATTTTGCTTAGACTGAATTTAGCTGTTTGTTTTCATGAATGTTTCACAGCTGTGTTAATAAAGATAATTGTGAATGATCCTGGTGTCTCTTGGTGGTGTTTAAGTATCATTGGCTCTCCAACCACCACCCCCAAAACGTTTTACCCTCCACAAAACTCAACTCATCCAAGCTGAAGGGTCCAGACCCAAAACGTCAGCTTTCCTGCTCCTCTGATGCTGCTTGGCCTGCTGTGTTCATCCAGGTCTACACTCTGTTATCTCATCCAAATCTCTACTGCCTACGTCCCTAACCCCTCCAAGTACAGTATCTTAAAAGGTGATCCTTTCCCACTCTTTGCTGACCCACGTTAGCTTTGATAACCTCCCCAACTCTCCATCCTCCCTAGCTTTGTAAATAGCGAGACAGCATCTGTAAACTGCAGGAGCATGTCAATGACTGCTCAGGTGGGCAGAACAGTGGCAAATCCTATTCCACCTGAAAACTTGGCAGGGCTAGCAAGACAGGGATTAGACTATGGCTGTCTTTAGTTGGAGCCTGGAAAGTATTGAACATCACATGGACCTTGTTGTGCAGATCCACAGATCTCTGAAAGTTGCACAGCAGGCAAATTAGGTGGTTAAGAAGATCTGTGGGACACTTGCTTTTATTAGGTGAGACATAAAGTAGAAGAGTAAGGAGATTATGCAGAAGCTGACAAAACTGGTTAGGTGACAACTGGAGTTCTGTGTGCAGTTCTGGTCACCACGTTATGGGAAGGTGGGATTTCATTGGAGAGGTCGCAGAGGAGATATACTAGGATGCTATCTGGACTGGAGGGTCGGAGTTGAGTGAAGATTGGACGAGCTGTAGTTTATTTTTTTTTTGCTTGGAGAAGTAAAATTGAGAGGGGAGCTGAGAGACATTTATGAGAGGCATAGAAAAGGTGGATAGGAAGCTACCTTGCCCATTAATACTGGGGTCAGTAACCAGAGGGCAGAGATGTAAGGTGAAGTCTAAGAGGAGGGTTATGGGCCAAAAACTGGAAAATTCAAGTAATGCAGTTAGATCTTTGACCAACATGGATATGATGGGCTAAATGACCTCCTTTTCTGTAAATGTCTTGAGTCTATAGTTACGCTCACTCCTTTAAAATAAATTCCACATTCTCCCTCCTCCCAAATGCTCAATTATCTATAATTTCTGAAATCCTTTAACTGTATCTGTTGCAATCTTCTTTCCCAATCATCCCTAAAAAGTGTTTCAAATGGCTTCAAACTTTATCAAAATCTTTACGAGCTTCCCAAGAGTTGTGTTAAGCAATACGCTGCTATCTATCTCTGCTGTAAAGTTGTGACTGTGTTGCTGCTTTTGTCAGTTCTCATTGATCAGTCTTATGGAGTCCCTGATGATTTTTCCCTTCCACTAGAGTTGCAGCATCAAGCATTTAGCAGAAGGTTGCATTATATAATGTTCCAGTCAATCTGGTCAGTGATGTTATTACACGCCTCTGGAACGGGTGGTACTTGATTCGAGGCCTCCTGGCTCAGAGATAGGGACACTACCACTGCACCGCTAGAATGCTTGTGGTAGCACTGTATCAGAAGATGGTGAAATACAATGAAATACACTGATGACAAACAATGACACACACTCAGGCACAGAAAGATAGACAGTGATTCATGTACACAAAGTGACACACAAACACTTATAATACAGAGACACTGTGCCACACTCTGAAAAGCACACATACTGCAACATGCTCATATACACACACGCGCACACATTGATATGGGAATACAGAACAACAGGCACACAGGTGACACACATATGCAATAATATACTCCTGTAGCAACAGACATACAGCGTGACCCACTCAGACAGAGACAGAGACACAGACTATCTGATCAAGCACGTTTTGAAAGTGATGAAGGTTTCTTTCTCTACCTTCCTGTCAGTCAGTGAGTTCCCGACCTCCATTACCCACTGAGTGAATTGGAATTAGGGAAATTGAACAAATAAATGATCCTTCCACTAAATCATCCCTCCTCAGTAATTAATCAACAACACGATCTCCCATTCCTTTTTTTGCCTTTCATCCTCTCCCTCAATTTGAAAATGCTGGTGCCAGAAATGTTGCTGTTCTATTCCTGCCCAGCTATGTCTCAGTAAAGATGACAATGTCTTTAACTTATACTGTGCTCTCAACTCATCCACCATATTTCTTAAATTTCTTGTATTAAAGTATGCCCCAATTTTTATGGTCAAATCTTGTTATTTAATTTTCCAGCTTGTGATGCCTCTTGCTTCAAAACACATTTTATTTCTGTCCGTGCTCTTCAGACTGTGGTACTGGGAGTAACTCAGAATTGGTAGAGAGTTAAGCTCCATCTGCAAATGCTTCTGCCTCTTGGCATGATTTACACTACGACTACAACTACACTACAGTGTACAGTTCTGGTCACCTTGCTACACAAAAGATGTGACCAAATTCGACAGACTATGGGGAATATTTACAGAGTATGTTGCTGAAACTGGAGAATTTCAGAACTGTGGAAAGGTTTTACGGGCTGTGGTTGTCTTCTGTGTAACAGATGTGGCTACAAGAAGATTTAATGAATGTATATTCAATTATGAGGATCCTAGATAATATCACAGCAGCCTATTACGTTGATTTGGGAGGACTCCAGGTGAGAGTATAGGATAAACATGGATCTCTCATACACCTGGAAGTGGATCAAGACTCTACTGCCTCGGTTGCTGATATGCTTGACAGTATCACTTACCTTTGTGTAATTAGATGCCACATTTGTGTGGAATAAAAATCCAGGAATTCATTCAGGATTCAGGACAGATCTGAGAGAAACAAAAAAGGAAACTGACAATGAATTTTGAGAGAATTGCTTTGTGGAATTTCAAAATTTGCTGACGATAGATAAATTGGAAACATTGTGAACTGCAAGAAGGATAATATAGAACTTAGAAGCCCATAGGCAAGGTGATGGAATGGACAACCAAGTGGTAAAAGAGGATTGACGTGGAGAAGTGTGAAATAATTAGTTTTGGGTGGACGGACACAGAGGTACAACCCACATTTTAGAGTATTACGTTGAATTCCAAGCACTACATTCTGGAAGGACATGGAAGCATTTTGAGAGAATGTAGAAAAGATTCATGAAAATCATTCCAGGATAGGGAACTACAGGAGAAACTGAGGCTATGTACTTTGGAGAAGGAAAGGCTGAGAGGAGATTGGTTAGAGATATTCTAAATCACGAGGCATCTAGCCAGAACAGGTGAAGAAATCTTCACTCCACTCATGAAAGGACCCAGAAAGAGATGGCACAGGTAATTGCCAAGGAAATAATGGTGATACGAGGGAAAATGTTTTCACCTAGGGAATAGTTACCATCTGGGATGCACTGTCTGGGAGTGTGGTGAAGGCATATTCAATTGGGGCATTCAAAAGGAAGAATGTACAGGGTTATGTGGATAAACTAGGGGAATAGCACTATTTGAACGCTCATTTCGAGACCTGGTGCAGACACAGAGGGCCAAATGCCCTCCGTTGGCATTGACGTGATTCTGTGATGTCTCAGATTTAACACACCAGTTGTATAGTAGCAGCTGGAAGTGTGTAGAACATAGAACATTGAACATAGAACAGTATAGCACAGCACAGGCCCTTTGGCCCACAATGTTGTGCCGAACTTTTCCCGTAAACCTAAGGTCTATCTAACCTCCACCGCTACCTTATACTATCATCCATATGCCTATCTAATAGCTGCTTAAATGCCCCTAATGAGGCCGACTCCACTATCCTCTTCGGCAATGCATTCCACGCCCCTACCACTCTCTGAGTAAAGAACCTACCTTAGACGTCTCCCCAATATCTATCTCCTTTCACTTTAAAACTATGTCCCCTCGTAAAAGCTACCTCCACCCTAGGAAAAAGTCTCTGGCTGTCTACTCTATCTACACCTCTGATCATTTTGTACACCTCTATCAAGTCACCTCTCATCCTTCGTTGTTCTAAAGAGAAAAGCCCTAGCTCTCTTAAACTTTCCTCGTAAGACCTTCCCTCCATTCCAGGCAACATCCTGGTAAATCTCCTCTGCACCTTTTCTAACGCTTCCACATCTTTCCTGTAATGAGGTGACCAGCACTGGACACAATACTCCAGACGTGGCCGAACCAGGCTTTTGTATAGCTGGAGCATAACTTCACGGC